TACTTGAGATAGGGTTGGAGGCCAGATGCCTCGCCGTACGTTCACGACTATGCCGTAGAGTCTGTAGCCGTAGGACGCGAATGATTGGAACATGATACTCATAACATCTCCTCCAGCAAATGACCACGTTCATGGCGCTCTATAGTAATAATGTGTTGGTTTCGTGGAAAAGTGATGAAAATTCTTTCAGACCGTTATGCTAATGAGGGGTGTATTGCTTGCGGTGCATTAGCGCGCTTATGCTTCAATGTTCCTACCATGTGATGACCATTACTGATGCCTCTGACGATGATACGTCGGAGTATCAAAATGTCTTACTATGTGACAAGTAGCCATAACGCCTTTCAGAGACATATGCGAACTCAACCCAGAGGCTTCATCGTTTAGAAGGCCTATTGTTCCTCCTGGCCGTATATGTAGCCGATAGACCGACACGTCAGTCTTCGTCAGTGTCCGACTATGTAGCATACACTCGTACGTGGTCGTATTGTCGTTACGTTGACATGCGCTACTCAACGACCAGATCTGCGACCGCTGGTAGTGCATTTAAGAGTTTCAGTTCATCATGTCGGCCATCAGTTCGGCCGAACGCACATCTAAGCGCCGGCTCTTGCCACTGCGATTGGTAAGATTTCTAACATCGATAGTGTAGTTGAGTTGGTTCCCAACCCAATAGCTGGCCAAAGTGGCTGTCGCGACAGGCGAACACAGTATATTGGCTCGGAAGCATCTTCAGGCAAATTGGAAAGAGGTAAGCTGCAGTAGTCAGGCGGCAGCGTAGCAAGTAGTAGCAGTGTAACGCACTCCAAATACATGGTAACCCGAGAGGAGGTTAGTGAGCTGAGCATGCAAATGACAAGAGATTGTAAAAAGTAAAGCATTGCCACAGCCAATACCTCGATTTAGGAGCTTCACATAGGGCTGAGCTACGTAGTCTACGCAAGGCTCCAAATTCCAAGCAAGAGGCGTGATGGTGTAACGAGAGAGAGAAGGAGAGAGCGGTGGCTTGCTCGGCGGCGCTTACAGGTTTCGTGGTTGGGGGACTTGCATCGGCTACGGCTTACCCATTCTACATTATTCATCCAATCGGCGGATGACCAAAGGGTAAGAGTCCACGATGTACAACTCCGTAAGTGTCGGTATCGCGGGACGAGGGACAGCTGCCAGAGACGGCAGCAGGCTCGAGGGGACATGTGGATGCACGGTATTCTGGGCATGGCGGAGCCAGGCACGTGCAAGAGCAAAACAAGTTGCAATAGCATGCGGCTGCCTGCAGGCCTTGTTCCGGTACATGCACGGCTCTATCGGCGATGGAAAGTTGATTGCTAGTATACGTAGTGCCGTCATTGCAACGAGCGATGCAGATGTCGCGATGATGAGCTGGGTGGTGATGACAGTTTTTGGCGAGGCAGACTTTGTTGGTTCAGCCTCATGGAGAATTAGCCGGAAGGCTAGACATGTAGGAGGAGCTAACTTTAGTAACGGGAAGGAACAGCACTAGGCTTGTTCGGGCACACGCTTGGTGTGACTGCCCCCCCGCACGAGATGTGAAAGATAGATATGTACAGCCGTGCGATGGCGGTGAGGCTGTGATGGTTTGGCGCATGATGAGGTAGGGCATGTGTTGATGGTCGACATAGAGGATGCTGCCCGGATGCGCGTGTTGCATATCGCAATATTGACCGATGCAGACCAAGTAAGTGGCAGTGGGTGGGTGTAGGTCGATGAAGGATCAACTACCCAGCCGAATCAGATAGCTTTCGCGACAGAAGTGGGGCCCGCACGTGCCTCGCCGTCATTGCATCCTGAGATCAAGCCATGCCCGTTGCGACGGGCATTATCTGCAGCCTGAGGGATCCTACTAGAATTGTCCTGCCGTCTGATATATGCCTCCTCTTCCCAGCGACCTGTTTGCGAGGACGCCGACAATCCAACGCGGCATGGCTCTCGTACGTCATTTCGGCGACCGCGACAGCGACACAATCATCATGATCTGATAGTGTGCACCATCTCCAGATGCTCAAAGCGGAAAGCCTTTCATTGTAGATCTGTGGAAAGTACCGCCGGGGTGACTTCGGTGTCTTTCCTGACCTCACGGAAGGAGAGCCAGCCTAACCACAACAGCCGCCTGAATCGCGCCATCTGCGGGTCGCGGCAAACAGCTCTCGACCTTCCTGTCTCACCCTGACCCACCAAAGATGCTCCACGCGAGGCAGTCCTCCCTAGACTTTGGACAACAACCAGGGCATGGTTGTGACGAGACTAACTCGGACGGCTGGCACGTGCCTTTCATTTCTCAACATCCCCCACTAAACCATCGCGCTTTGAACCTTTCCGGACGGGTCAACGGTGATCATTGGCCCTCTCGTCGTTGCAGAGAGCCTTGGATTGGTCATGTCGCAGCGCACAGGTCTTTGTCGGACGACGTTGATTGTCTAGCCCTACGGCTATTGAGCATCAAGCTCATAACCCGCCACCTGTCAACAAACACCAGCATCGTGGAGAGGGGCCACAGCTGCAGGTCAAGTCATCTCGCTTGATTTCTGTCTCTGGACACCCTAGACGCGCTCATCAGCCGATGCGACCCAAGAGCTTGACGGCCTCCAACTCAAACACGTGCCGAAGCGTGGAGCCTGCCGAATCGAGTTTTGCATTCCTCAAGATTACCGGCTATATTGCGACTTACGCCCCCATTGAGCAAACAATGTCATTTATTCACACACACATCCGGCTGGGCTTTCACCGCTTCAGTTTCAACGTGTTCTACAAGCGCTCAAGGGACAGCTCCATAGCATGCGGGACGTTGCAGTTCATTTCCCATAACACTAAGCTGAAGTGGTACTATTAAGCGATTTCTGCCGGCTGGCAGCCTCGCGCAAAGATCGTGGGAGCGAGCGAAATCCGGCCCGCCCACTCAACGCTTGAACTAAAACAGCAAATGGCATGGTCTTTCTTGCTAACGGAACGGACAAGGTTGTTGTTCAGTGAGTCGCGAGAGCCGCCGACGGAGCATTGCATAGTTCATGAGCCGCCAAAGCATATCGACTTGAACCTGGATTACGCGCCAACTAGAAACTAATAGCTGCTGGACATAACCCACCACACAGGTTGCGATTCGTGTGCCCATGTCAGTCTGCAGAGTGCTTACAAGGGTCATCGCCATTACCCATCGTCTCGGTTGCGGAGGAGCTGAGCCATCATGAAACCGACAGCGGTCCTGGCCCGACAATCAGGCTCGCCAGCGCCCAAATGCGCAACAAGCTGGTCGTCCCATGTGCAGTCGACAGCCATCGTCAATCTGAAGGCGGCTCTGCCGGCTGGGGAGCTATCCGCATGGGGTTTTGAGTTGCAACTCTCCGATGTGCAAATGCAGGAGCTTGAGCCCTGGAAACCGGTGAAGCCTACTTGACGTGCGTGATGCAGTCGTCCCTCTGTGCCAAGCAAAACGCGTCGACCCTCATCAAATCCTCAGTCCCCCATGCCTGTGCAAGCCAGTGCAAATCAATGCAAAAGTGGGTGCCATCGTCGTCCGGCGCCTTTCATTTGCCTTGTGCCTTGAAAGGCTGAAGAAGCTTGGTCGACGTGTTCCCAAGCTTTGCGCGAGCGGACGCGCTAAACCATAAGGCCCCCCGCCCTCACAAGTAGCCCTACGCCCATAGCGGGCTGCCGTGTGGAGATTGGGCGAGTCAGGGACTGCGGGACCACCTGAAGCCGCTTCATGTGCACATGGAGGGACTGCTTACTGTGCTTACGCCCTGGACATTTGCACCTTGACGAATGAACACAGCAAAACGATGGGTGCAATACCGTTTGCCAGGAACTATGCGTTACAGCTTTCGCCGTCATTGCCATCGCCGTCTTGTTATTCGGCGACGACATGCCTTGCCGTTGTCCTGCATGTTGTATGTACTCTGGCGGCATGGGTCCCCGGCAGGGCTGGTTGACAGGCGAGACTACACATCTGCCGCTCAGTGCACCTAACAAATGCCATCTCCACCAATTAACTTACATGGCATCGCGAAACTGTCGGGCATATCTCCCACTGCAGGGACGGATATCGCAAACCCGACGCCTGCACCAAAGCGATTGCTCAGCATCCTTCGACAACCTTCTCTGCAAGGGACATCATGTGTCGTCGCGATGACAGCATATCGCGATGGTGCTGCATCTTGGTGTAAGCGGCAGCATGGGCGCCGTTGCAGGAGGGCTGAGCACGGTCATGCTCCACGCGAGTCTCTATTTCGGGTCCCCCATGGCTCTCACAAGCCACGCTCCTCTTAGCATCCAGCGTGAAGTTTGAGGCGGGAACGGTCCGCAGCCTGGCCTAGCGGTGTCCTCCAACTGCCCACTCACATCCTACCCATGTCCCAATTTTGGTGCGCGGATGCCTTGTTGCTCAGTGTGACTAACGGAACCGTTCGCCTGCACGCCCGCAGCCATGCCCGTGGGCTCAAGCCATCGACTTGCTATGAGATCGGCCAATGCACTGCCTACGGCGGATACCCTGGAAAGCACCATGTCTACACCCTGCACATGTTATGTTGGCTTGCAGCGTCTATGACCCTCGTCACTTTTCCAACCCCCATACTCAAGTACGCTCCTCGTTCGGGGTTGGCTCAGGCACAGCCCGCAGATATTTACAGTCTCTTCCTCTCCACAAACCTATCCGGGCGCAGCATTTTCTCCTACAATCATCGCAAATGCCTTGTTTTGGACCGGCTTTCCTTCCCAGCCCAGCCTACTACACACCACGTTAAGTCGTCTCCCCTGGCGGCTGTTCCTTAATTCAACTTTCTGTCCCCCGGCTGCCTATCATCATCCCGTAGGAACAGCACCGACTCGTCCAAGACATGATCACTAGCTCATAGCCGTCTGTCGTACCACTAGATCTGGAACGTTTAGCACACATTAACCACGTCCCCACTTGAGCCTCTGATCTCTCCTAGCCCCATCATTCTCCAACTTAAGATATATACCATCCATCGCCTCGTCCGTCCGTCATGTCCGAACCCACTGAGACAGGAGGCCTCCCATTGGACTTGAAGACCCACCAGCAACAGCAACCTAAAGACAGCATTATTCATCAACCAACACTACCCAGAGTCGAATATTGCACAACATCACAGTCACCTAACAACTCATCCAAGGGAACCAAGGCTACTAGCCCTCGCCGTCGTCCTGGAACCATCAAACAAGCGCCATCCGGCCCCCACACCGGCTCCTCCCGCTCTGAGCAACAGCCAGCCTTGAGCCCTACAGACATGTCGTCTCACAACCCATCAATCCACTACACGCGGACTGGTCGTATCAGCAAAGCAAAGAAAGGATTGAAAGTACACAACTGCGAGAATTGCGGAAGAGTAAGTCCCAATATACACATACTGCCATCAGCTCCACGATGCAGACGTCTAGCTGCGTATAAGCTGCAGGTATTGCACCGCATCTTGTTGCAGCCAAACGTATCCGCTCAGTCACTGGATATTACTATCATGTTTGCAGTGTATCTTTGCTAACCAACTACTAGTCTTACACCCGGGCCGAACACCTAAGGTCAGTTATTATTCCCATCAGAAACTGGAGCGTCACTAACAGCGTATGTCAGACGGCACCAGAAGAACCATGCTCAAGAAGACGCACTTGTCTGTCAGGTGTCAGGATGTGGCAAGACCTTCTTCCGGATTGATCTTCTTCATAGGCATCAGGAACGACAGTATGCGGAACCGACATGACTCCCAAAGACAGTATACTGACTTTAAGCAGCAACGAACCTGGAAGAGACACTCCCCAGCAGAGTCCGGAGGGCTCACCAGAGCCAGCGTCTATCGCTATACCGGCCTCCATACCCGCTCTCGCGTCACCCATAATGGAAGTGACGTCGAACCCCCCAACCACTTCCTATTACCAGCCCGTATCTCCCATGCTGGAGACGGTGCCATTCACAAGGTACAACCACGCTTCGTTTCGTACTCCCAGAACGCCTCAAAATCTCTCGTCAAGTTCTAGTCTCATTCCTCGTTCTTCTCCTCATACTACATCTAGCCCCAAGTGAGTTTCATTGCACATGATCGAGCACTTCTTTCTTCTTTCTTCTTGTCTCGTCTCATATTCTCTACTTGAACGCACACTCATTCTATTACAGTCAACTCAAGCATCCCCGTTCACAATACAACCGATCTTCTGCAGCTGTGCCCGTGCCCATGGATGTTATGACACCGGGTCTATGGCATGAACCGTACAGTCCCACCCCCGGGTACTCCTCCTCAAGCGGGTATGCATCGCCGATCGCATCGACCGACTTCCCCACATTTGGCAGCGCACCTTACCATCGAGCGCGCACACCTTCGAACGCATCTATTATCGACCCATCATGGTCATACCAATCACGGTCGCCAGCGTCTACCACCTCGACCATGGCATTCACATGGGGTTCGAACGACAAAGGATCGACTGCTTCAAACCTCGCCTACATGAATGCCTGTTCCTACCCAATGACGACTATGTCGATTCCTACAAGTATGGATACAATGGCTGGATACGGACACTTTGGTCCACGGACAATGATTCAGAGAGACGAAGAGGAGAGGGTGATTCTCTTTGGAGACGAACAATATGGTATGGCTTCGATCGCACACACCCATCCATTTGAGCAATATCTTGACTATTACTGGAGGCTCTTTCATCCCACTTTCCCCGTCGTCCATCGATCTACCTCTGTGAACCCGTCCCCGATGCTGCGCGCAGCCATGGTCGCCATAGGCAGCCAGTACTCGAGCGATTCCAGCGACAAGAAAAAGGGCCGAGACCTCCACGACCGATGTTTGAAGTTGCTTGAACGGGTAGGTTAGACGCATGTCGTACTGATCTCGACTGACGTGAAGCAGAGAGACCACGAAGCTTCGACGGAACCAGATCGTTTATGCGATTTCCAGACGATGTTTCTTATCGAGATACTATCCCAGTACCGTGCCCGACGGGCTGCTAAGGTTTTGTCGTCGCGCTTTGACAAAGTGTATCACAAGGTAGGTTGAGTGTCATTCGAGACGGCAGCAGACAGCTGACAATGTCAGGCTATTGAGAATTGCAGGAGCATGACTCCAAAGATGGCGGATCTGGTCGCAAGCCCTTCTCCGAACCATTGGGCTCACTGGGTCGAGCTAGCCACCTGGCAACGCCTGCTGTTGTCTTGTTTCGTTCTTGAGTCACAGCAGCGTCTCCTACTCGCTCGTGAATCTTTACCTTCCTTGATCCACGATTGTCATTTGGACCTTCCGTTGCCGGCAGACAGTTCTCTTTGGGATGCGACGACTTCGACCGAATGGGCTACGGCTGCCCAACAGCATCTTTATACACCATCATACGTTGACGAAATAACTCCCAGGTCTCTAACAGGCCCTCTTGATACTTTCCAATCATTTGTCATACTCGCCGTGCACTACAATCGTAACGAAACCCCGGCACCATACATTTCCTCCTCGACAGCTTCGAACCTTGAATCTCTTCTCGATTCTGCGCCTGCCACTACACGGATGCTTCTCGTAGCAAAACTGGTGCAAGTGACCCCTATCCGTGCACTTGTAGCCGTTGCGAGCGAATCATGGATCTTCTCGGAGAAGGTCGCAACCCCACAAGCCTTTGCTGCACTAAAGACTACGCTTCGCACATGGGTCGCACAGCTATGGTCTACCAGCGAGCCAGAAGGTGTACCGGTCAAGGAAGCACTAAAATTATCAATCAAGATTCTGCAACAAGCTGTCGAGGAGCAGCGAGATTCTGTGCCATTGGAGGTGGGTACAGATATGAGCATCTTCTTTGCCGCTCTAGTTCTGTGGATCATCACTGTCGCAGCGAACACACGAACGAAAGGACTACACCAGATAGCCAAACAGCAAAGCCGACGGCAGAGTCATTCCGAATCGTCACCGATCTTCAAGTCAGCCTGGGTACCTACAACCCCTTCAGCACAATCCATAGGCCATGCTTCATCTTCATCAGTTCGACACACAATAGCACCTGCCAATAGCCAGCCGCAATCACCAATCATTGGAGCTACAGCGGAAAATCCTCTTCTTTCGCATGCGCAGATCATCATCAACACCATAAGTTTCCTCACCGATACCCTAGCCCTCTCCGATAACACTATTTCCCTACGCCAGTCTCCCGCAGATCATGCACGTCGTCAAGCAGGCTGCGTAAGCCTACTTCTCTGGGTCAAACTCCGACTTCGTGGCGTCCCGCTTGAAGACCAGAGTGGAGCTGCCGATACCTGGATCAACAAGTCTAGCGACGGGCTTGGCGAGCTTCTCGAAGGTGTCGTGGGATCCATTGAACGCATTCTAAAGAAAGGCTGGAGTGATTGGGGAATATAACCCAGTCGCTTGTTTCGTTCGCCCCTCTTTCCTGTTTCTGGGCCTGCACCCTGCATCTTGGATTTTCACATCGCTTTGCATACCCTTTTGTACTGTCCAATCTTCTCTGCTCCGATTTTTGTGTTTCGTCTCTGCTTTCTTCATAGCGCGGTATTGGGATGTACGGGCAAGAAGGATATGATTTCATGACTGTTTACGGCGGATACCCCTATTTACTTGCTTTATGCTCCTACGATTCGTTATTTGCAGTTTATATTCTCGAATACGTCGCGATCACACTCTATATTTCGGTTGCCATACATAGGTTATATCCTACTACTCACGAAGATTGCATTGTTGGGATATTCAAACTCATGTGTTACGTACCTGCTCCATGTTGTTTTAATCTTGGTCGAGCATCTTGTATATTACAAAGCCTACAATAAAGACCATACACGGGCATAGCCCCGATGCTAAGAAGCCAATCACCCTTGCGCTTGTCACAAATGGAAGATCGTCGTAAGACTAAGAGGGCCATATCCACTTATCTTTCTAACCAACTTGGCGGTACTCACATGCCGAATCCTGCAGGAATGCATGCTTATATGCAATTAGGCCACCACCACCCATCACCATGTGGAAAACATTCTAGATCATTCCCTGTTAGAGAAGACCTAAGGCAGGCAAGAATTCACCCCTCACATCCAGCGCCGTCCCCTAAGCCATTCTACCTCCTTCTCAGTCTTCCTCCATCCACGATCCTCTACTCTATTTCCTCTCGTCCTCACAAACACTAGCTCATCCCTTTTCTGCTGCACATGTGCATCGTCCGCCTTTTTCTTCTTCTTCTTCTTCCTCTTTTGGACGAGTGGGTACTCAGGTTGACGGTCCGGATAGTATGTAGTATAGCGATTGCTGTATCTTTCTGATCCAAGAGGGTGAATTGAAAAGTGTGAGTTGTAAAGATCGTAAGTAAGACTCCTGTGCGCGATTTCAGGAGCAGACATGAAAATTGAAAGACGCTCGGGAATATACGGGTGTATAGAGCCGCGTGATGTGAACCATGATGGGAGGCGCTCATAGCTGGACGGGCCTTGGGTGCTTCCGAAAGGAGATGGGTGCACGATGCGTGTTCGACGCCCTAGTCCTGTTGAAGTTGACGATATACTTGTATCTTGTTGGTAGTGTTCGCGACCGTGATAGTCTTTAGTCAAGAGCTCTCGCTGCATGGCCCTTGGACTTTTGCCGTTAAAGAAGAATGGTGTCATTGTTGTAAAGTTGGTGATAAGCTGACTAGCGAACTTGAGGTTATGGTTAGTCTGATTTATGGATGTGCTTCTATAGTTGTGATATACAACGACCGCATCAGAAAGTTTGTTGATGGACGTGAGACCTGGTGGTTTGCTTGTTGGGCTGGACACGTCCGGGCGTATCTAGTAGTCTAGAGACAAGCGGGGGGTGGGCGAATGTCTCAGATGGTTGTAGTTGAAGATTAGGCCTGGTAGTCTCGCCATGTGGATAGCACGGTTGTCGGAATGCGAGGTATGATGCGCGAATCAAAGGTAGGTCTTTTGAGTAAGAAGATCAAAGGTTATAAACATCGCCAAGGTATACTGCCAGGTATAAACATATCACCCCCTGCCATCCGCCTTTGAGATGCGTCATCCCACAGCTCGTCCCCTACATCTTTGCCCTCCGCTGCAAATAAAGCCTAATGGCGACGGCCGCTATATACGTTAGGCTGTCGAATAGTCTCTCACCATGTTTTCGGATTTATTACTTACCAACAACAGCAGCCAAGCTTTTCATGCCTACTAGACCCATAAACCACGCACCCCAGCCAAGTGCTCTACCCTGACGATCAAAGTTGGGTTTGACGTCGTTCATGCCAATAAACTTCTTCTGCTTTGCGAGTGTGTATGGCGGGTATCTGACGTCCATGAGACCCTCAAGCCAGGCTGGTGTGGTAGTCACACTCCTGCGGTGGGTAAAGGTGTCGAAACTGGCCTTGCCTCTGTATGCGCCCTGGCCACTTGTTCCAACGCCACCAAAAGGCATGGTGGGTATGGAGCCGTGGAAGAAACCGTCGTTGAGAGAAGCACCTCCACTGCGCGTTTGTCCCATGATTTGTTCCAACTCGGCCTTGTTTCCAAAGGCGTAGGTGCCGAGGGGGGTGTCGTGGATCTCGTTTGCGATCCGGATGGCTTCGTCGAGGTTGGAGACGGGCAGGATGGGCAGGAGGGGGCCGAAGGATTCGGAGGTGACCATGCTGTCGTTCATGTCGTTGATCTGGACGACAGTAGGTTCGATGAAGAGGTCGGATTCGTCCATTGTGCCGCCGATGACAATCTTGCCGTTGCTAGCGTCGAGCATCTTCTTCATGCGCTGAAACTGGCGCTCGTTGACTATGCGGCCATAGTCGGGCGAGTTCCGAGCGCCGTCCGGGTAGAAGTCATGGAGTTGCTTCTTCATCTCCTCGATGAAGGCCGGGACGATCTCGCGGTCGACAAAGGTGCAGTTCTGGCTGAGGCAGACCTGGCCTGCGTTGAGTGTCTTGGCCCATAGTAACCTCCTCGCGGCGAGCTTTGGGTCGGCGTGCTTTGTGACAATGGCGGGGTTCCTGCCTCCCAGCTCGAGCGTGAGGGGCGTGAGCGTCTCGGCCGCCTTCTTCGCGATGATCTTGGCGACGACCTCTCCGCCAGTGTAGAAGATCTTGTCCCACTTCTGGTCGAGCAGGGCCGTCGTCTCGGGGATGGCGCCCTGGATGCACGTGTAGCAGTCAGGGTCGAGGGACTCGCGCAGGATCTTCTCGATTACGACGGCGGCGTTGGGGGCCGACTCGGAGGGCTTGACGATGGCCGTGCATCCTGCTGCGATGGCGCCGATGAGAGGGCCGAGGGTGAGTTGGATGGGGAAGTTGTAGGCGCCAATGATGAGCACGGTGCCCAATGGGTCCTTCTTGATGCGTGGACTGAGGGGCATGTTTGTCCACGGGATGTCAGTCGCCTTCTCGTCCTTTGCGAAGCGCGGCACGTTGTTGGCCATCCAGATGCAGTCGTTCATGCACCACGAGATCTCGGTCAGGTATGTCTCGAACGACGGCTTGCCCAGGTCGCGCTTGCACGCCTCCTTGATGAGCTCTTCATTGTCCTTGAAGCCCCAGTACAGCTTCCGCAGCTGCTGGATGCGGTACTCGAGCGGCTTGGTCTTGTGCGAGAGGAAGCTGGCGCGTACCTTCGCGCACGTGGGCGCGATGTCGTCCATGGGCGTGTGCTCGAAAGGGGCTAGTTCCGCCATGATGGTCTGCGTGGTATCGTGTGAGCGGGCAGGAGAACGGGTCCTGGGACTGGTAGTAGACGCCAATGGCCAGCTATAAGCTTCAGAGCCATGTCAGCGACGGCGTTTCACAGGCGCGCAGTCGTGCCTCGGTCCCGTGCAGGTGCATCAGCAGCGGGGCCTACACTAGCTCCTACTAGCCTTAGCGCAAACCGCCCCTCTCCAATATGTTCGCCCGCCGGCCCGTATGCCATGCGAGTCCCGCTAGATCGACTATCTATACTGACAAGGCTGTTTCGAACCCTCTTGACACTCACATTGATTCGTAGTACATAACTAAAAACAGTGCGACCTAAACGTTGGGGGTATCTTATATATCTGCCATCTCATATCGAGGTCGCGGGTGGCCTCGCCGTATTAATGCATATACCAAAAACTCCGACCCGCATGCTAAGCTTTAACTGAGCTTTCCTCCCAACCTCATCTGCTACTCGTGAGGCGTATAAGATCAGGCTCGTCCCCGCCAACCTTCGTCTTCTTGCTCTCCTTGCTCTCCTTGACAAAGTACGTATCCCGCTTTCCATGCAACTCCTGGTGCAGCAAATCAGTCAAGCTCTGCATCATAGCTGCCTCGGTGCTTTGTTTCGTTCGCTGTTTATCGATCGTGTGGTGCCTGATAAACTGGCCTGTACACTTGCTCGTAATCCATGTATGCTCGGTCAGACCCGGGTATCCCATCGCGTCGTTGCATGGTATCTCGACAATGTTGGTACCATTCGGATTGAAATCGTATCGAATGTATTCCGAAAACGCCTTCTGCTCGTGTGACCACTCCTCGGCCCACCGCTTGCAGTCTGGATAGCGCACACCAGTTGGGCATTCTTTCCATGCGTCTAGCATATCGAAGGTATGTGGAAGGGACTGCGCAATAACAACGCCAGTGTTGAGGGCGAGCTTCCCGCGGCTATCTTCGGATGCGTGTTCGTCGCCGTTGAGCGTCTGTCGTGTATCGAAGGGCATGGCGATGCTGGTTTCCGGTGTGATACCCCAGCGGTTGAAGAGCCATTCGATCGGGACTTCGAGGTGGCTTATCGTTGCGTCGGCGTCAATAAAGATGACAAACTTGTACTTCTTAAGGAGGGCGTGGAGAACGTGCGGCTTCACCCATGTGTTGTGCATTCCCTCCATGTCGTGCGCGTTGATGAAGCGGTAGTCGTAGCCGTGTATTTGCGCTGTACAATGTCAGTGCTACAACGACGACGTAAAAATCGCAAGTTGGTACGGACCATAAAAGAAGTGGTTCATAAAGGCCGCGCTGACCATACCACCATCGCCCTCCGACTTCATCGTCTCCCAGTTCAGACGGTCTTTGTTCCACAGCTCATTCTTCTTGTTGGGTACCCTAGTATCGATGTCCACAATCAATATTTCGCTCCTAAGTGGTTCTCTCCACCATGGCGCATCTTCTTTCACTTCGTGTACTTTTCCCGACGCGTCGGTATACGATGGATCGTCTATGGGGTGCCTTATGGATTCGTAGAGCCTGAGGAAGGAGTCGCTGATCGTAGGCTTGCCAAAAACTGGGCGGTCGTTGTTGCAGACATCGTTGGCTGCCTCCTTTGCGGATTCCTTAATCTTCTCGACCACCTTGGAACCGCTTTCATGCAGCCCGGCTGTCGTCGAAATTATCAGAATGCATATGATAACAAACACACCACTGATGATCGCCAGTTTGTTGTATGACATGATAGGGCCCGGCATGTTGATGAAGCCTAGGAGGGTTGCCAGGAGAGAAGAAGTAGAGTTGGGAGACAGGTCAGTCGTAAGAAGCGTGGCGAAGTCAGACAAGCGGGAAGGGGTGAATTAGTTAGTGGTCAATTCCCAGCCGCCACAGCCTCGTAAAAGGAAAAAAAAATAGGAAAAGACAATGCAGTTGTCACCGACTATGCAAGACTATCGAGCAAGATGCAATCATAAAAGGGGCCAAAACCGTTTCCACTAACCAGCACTCCCAAGGCTACCACGGATGGCATCCTAGGAGAAGAACTCTGTTCTTCGTATCGTTACTGGTTCGACATGCAGGGCTGAGCATGCCGGGAGCGGCGGGAAGCCGTTCGAGATGATCGCTGACGCTAGGAGTATACATCACGATCCCCTAAAGCGATAGTGGCGTGTCGTCTAGTCCTTTTTCCCACTAGCCTCCCCATTCGTCAGCCGGCACATCCACGGTGAAATATCCAATACGTTGCCCAAGATGTCCGGACCGAATAAACTTTCCGCAATGAAATCATCGCATTCGCGTCTCTCGTGTCGCTTCCTCAACACATCCCAACTAACGGCTGACAGAACCCAGCTGGAAATCTAACAGTACCGTGCACCATGCCGACGGGAGATATAATGCTGGAACAATGGCACCTCTCACATGGCGATGTCAACCTACTACACAATCCCTGAGCCTAGCTGGACAACATATGCTAAGTAATCCTGGGACCTATCGCATTTATAACCAATCTTGCTGCGCCCCTGCAAGCTCACTCGTCTTCATGCTCCCGAGGCCGAGCCACGTCGTCGCACACTCTTGGCTGAAGCTACCTGGTCTTCACATTTAGCATAGTTGACAAGGACCCAAGCTTCCTTTCATCTTTGTCAAGCTTTGTTTATCTGTGGTGTTTACCACACGCATAATCACGGAGACACAGTTTCCTTTGGTCACATCCCCTCCGAGAACGAAGCCTGCATTGAACAATTGACCTGTATCAGGGCTTGTTATCGTTACTGATATGGTTAGCATTCTAAATGAACGTATCTCAACGTCTTGATAGAGGATTCCGCAGCGAGTGGAAAAGATCTATAAGCAAAGGATCGCGACAAAACATCATTAGGAAAAAGATATTGGACGCCTGATATGGATGCAGCCCTTGCATTTGACTGCTGGAACATGTTGTCTTCAGCTTGCCGCTATGCTTCTTTGATTGTCTGCTGACCTTCTGAAAGTACAGCGTCAGATCCTTCGATTCGCGCTTTCCTCATGCGGGCTTACAAATGCGCTGCATTACAAAGCAGACGCCTTATGGGATATCGAAATACTCAAAGCATCACGAAATGGCAAACTCAAAGGTCTGTATTCAAATCTACAAAGGCATCCTTGCAACCATGAAATCAACTACTCAACCAATTCGTGCCGCGCTCATTGGGCTTTCTTCCTCAGCTGTCACATCGTGGGCTTCGGCGGCCCACCTCCCAGCTCTCCTCACTGCAACTGGCCGCTCGAAGATCACCATCAGCGCATTGTCAAACAGCAGCGTTGACGCTGCAAAGTCGGCGATTCAGAAATATGGACTTCCAGACGGAACCAAGGCATACGGGTCGCCAGAAGATCTTGCGGCGGATCCAGACATCGATCTGGTAATATGCAATACACGGGTTGATAAGCATTTCGAGACGATCTTTCCAAGTGTCAAAGCTGGTAAGGATGTTTACGTCGAATGGCCAATTGCTGCCAACAGAGAACATATCAATGAGCTCATTGAAGCGGCGAAGAAAAGTGGATCAAGGGTTGCGGTGGGTCTGCAGAGACGCTGGGCGCCACCGGTGGTCAAGTTGCGGGATGTCTTGGATAGTGGAAAAGGTAGATTAGGCAAAGTGCTGAGCTCCGACGTTCGTGCTTTCGGTGGAACGATGGACAGGGAGATTTTACCCCTAGGTTTGAAATACTTTGCAGACAAGGACATCGGCGGCAATCCGATCGTGATAGGTGTTGGTCATGGTAAGCACCTCATCGGCGCAAAACTTGTTTAGTGCTAACGGTAGCAGTGCTTGACGCCGTACTTTCGGTCGTCGGCCAACTCGATCCAGCATCCGTGCACTCTAAAACACAGATTCAGCGCCCCAACGTTCGCATACGCGACCCTAAAAGTATGCAGGTTGTTGAGAAAACAACATCAAACGTCCCCGACCTCCTTTCCGTACATGCCGCTATAGAACCCTCGCCACTTACTGTTCCCAACGCAACACTTTCCTTTCTGTTTCGTCGCGGCCAGCCATTTCCTGGAACGCCGGCTCTCACCTGGACTATCAATTGCGAATATGGCGAGATCCGCGTTACGTCAGCCACGAGTTCGTCTTTTCAGAATAGCGAAAATGATGGTCCAGTAGTGATTCAAGTTCACCACTTCGATACTGAGCAAGTGGAGATTATCGGCTGGGATTGGAGTGATATGCAGAAGGAGATACCGATTGTCGGAAGGGATGTTATGGGGTGCCTCTTTGCCTTTGCGGATGGCAATGAGGAGGGAGATGGGTGGGTGGGCTTGGGGGACGCTGCAAGGTACGCGCAAACGATCGAAAGCTTCCTGGAGGAGTAAGCAGTATGATTGCGTGCTATAGTCGCATCAAATCTCCGCACTTTCATCGTTACTTTAGAGGTCACGTATGACTGATGGGCCTCTGAAAGTGTTTCAACTAATTGAATTGAAGTTCTTGCATCTTCATGCATCATACTCTCTTCCTAAGCTTACTTCACAACCAACGGTTTTGCGCCAACCCTTGCTGCCTCTGCATTTAGCGCGTCTACTTCCGCTTGAACCAATGGAATGCCACTCTGCTCTCTTTCCTGCTGTTGTATCTGCTCGAGCTCACCTGGGAAGTAGATTCTCTCTACCCCAGCTGCCTTCTCAGCACCCGTGACTCTGTCGTACAAGATCTGCATCCTCTCCCTGAAGTCATCTAAGCTCATGAAAAGGTCTGGTTTCACAGCAACGAGGAAGTGACCGACGTCTGATGGTCTAGACGGATCGTAAGGATTGGTTACATCGCCTGCAAATGCCGAACCGGAAAGTACGCCAGAGAAGACATCCATCATTACAGCTAGACCTGAACCCTTGGGGCCACCCATAGGGAGCATTACGCCGCCATCTAATGCCGCTTCTGGGTCATCGGTCGGCTTCCCATCTTTATCCAAGGCCCAATCCAAAGGTATTTTCTCTCCCCTCCTCTTTGCTTTGTAGATCTTTCCTCTAGCTGCAATCGATGGCGCCATGTCCAACACGAACGGCTGGTCTTTGCCAGGTGCACCACATGCAATTGGCGAAACACCCAGCAGCTTACTCTTACCACCCCAAGCCGGTAACGCAGGACTAGAGTTTGTGAATACCAAACTCATCATATCGGCATCGAGGGCCTTCTGAACTACCCAAGCGCTCATACCAAAGTGATTGGAATGCTTGATACTGGCCATGCCGATACCATACGTCTTCGCAGACTCGATACATGCAGCCATACCAGCATCGGCGGCAAGGAATCCGAAACCATTGTTGGCGTCGACTTGGGCGACGACTGGCGTGACTTGAGTGACAGTAGGTGTTGCTGCACTATTCAATACGCCTTGGCGTACGCGTTCCATGTACGAAGGGATTCGGTTCATGCCGTGGGTGTCGACACCACGGAGGTCGGCTGCTACGAGACATTTGGCGATGATGTTGGCGTTTTCGGGGGCGACTCCATTGCCAACCAGAACTGCGGTTACAAAAGATCTTGCATCTTCTCCACTGACATATAGCTTAGTATCCATTGAAGATTCTGCCATGTTTGGGATGGGAGGTCGAGATTGCCAAGGTGGAGGCGAAGCAATTGAGGCTTCTGAGAATGCTTGTGTTGTGTCTTATACCCTTCTACGATCCAATAAGTGACTCACGATTCTCGAAAACTTTCCCAGTTACAGATACGCTTGTTCGGGGTGTGAGATCTCCAGGTGGTACGTCGGAGTCATCCCGCATTGTGGAGACTAAAACCTGCGGACTTTCCCCGCTCTTCTCCGCACCGTCTCCGTTCCGTCACTGTCCAAGCCTATCAAGCGGAAAAATCTAAAGCTCTACCTTGACACCAGTTTTCTACTACTATGGCTGGAGGTATCCAAGATACAAGTCGTATGGGTTTCGACTAGATCGCGAGGTCGTGAGTGGCTTCTAGTCGGTCGCTGTATGGAGAGAGCGTGGCGCAGCAAACAGAGTTAGGCCTTGACCATAGCATCTGCATAGGTAATATTCACCAATACGAGTGCCATTTTCTTCAAGTGTAAATCAATTGAATCTCACGTCTTTCTATTGCTGATTACTTACATACCCTTTTCGTAAATTCATTCTCGAGTACACTCATAGCGCAGTCGGTGTTAAGCATCCATACTCATTGCTATGCTTACCTGAATTTCAACAGCCACATTGTGTTTTTCGTAGTATTTGAGCTTTTTGAAAAAGCTCGTCGTGTGAAATGCGAGGGTACTCAGATCTTAGGAGAGTTCTAAATTGTACAAAGAAGCTCACTTTTTTTGGAACTCAATGTCTAAAGCTACCTGATTCTGGCATCGTCTCACTGCTCATCTTTCCTCGGTCTCGCCCAGATCTTTTTGTCAGTATCAGAAGAAAGTGAGCAGTATGCTGCTTCCAGAAAACGTCGCTGTCGCTGCCTCCTCTTTCGCTGCCAAGCAGCACGTGTTTGCTCGTAACAAGTGCACCTGCCTGAGCACTCTCGCATCTCACCACACATCACTCTATTCCAGCTGTCCATCCGCACCACACGCACCAGAGCTTTGAAACTGACAACATGGACGACAAAGGCCCCAAGTGGCGTCTCGGTGGGTTCTGAGCGCCATCTCTCACTCAAATGTTTGGTTAACAATCCATAGAGCAAGCTAATAGTGGTCAAGCGATCTGCAACCAGGCAGCCTGCAAGCGCAACAAGGTCAAGATCGTGAAAGGAGAACTACGTATTGGTACTCACACGCTGTACGACGATGGAGAATCGACTAGGTGGTACATGGCCTGGCGCCACTGGTGAGTAATCTATATGCATCTGCAATCCTAGAGGCCTAGAGTAGTGGTCAGCGAAACGTACTAATATGGCTTTAGGGGCTGCGCTACCAAGCACCAGATCGCAGGTTTGAAGGAAATCACCGGAGACGACCCAACAAAGGCACCAGGCTATGATCGACTCAGCCCGGAGAGTCAAGAACAGGTCCGGCTAGCTTTCGAAGAGGGAAAACCTGTCGACAAAGACTTCAAGGGCATACGCGAAGACCTAGCCAAGGACGCTCGGAAATACGCTAAAGAGTACACGGATGTGAGCTTCTACAAAATCGACGTCGCTCGTCGCGTGTGCGCTTGCCGTGGCGGCAACTGTCTCGACAAGAATGTGAAGATCACGAAGGGTGAACTCAGGCTAGGCCTGTCCATTTCGTTCGACGGGGAGCATGAAACCATGGTCTACAAGCACTGGGTGAGTCCTTCTTCAATGCTCATGCAGCAAGACTAACGTCGACAAGATATGCATGTCCACCTATGACCTGGAACAAGTGTTGATCCGGGCGGGCGAGGACTCAATCGACGGCATCGATTCTCTTCCTATAGACCTCGAGGAAGTTGTGACCAAGACTTTCGAGACGCGCAAGATCGTCGAACCGCCAGAGCGTAGAATCGAGTCACCCAAGAAGCCAAAGAAGGTGAAAGCCAAGAAGCCTGTTGTGAAAAAAGAGATGGAGGAAGAGGATGCTGAGGCTTTTGAAGCTACGACAAAGGTCGAGGAATCAGAACAGAAATTGGATATGAAGCCAGAAGATGCCGCTTCTCCGCCACTCCCTGCAAAGAATGTACCAGGGATGAGAGACCAGGTTGCAGAAATGGTTGGTTCACCGAAGGTTGCATCTGTTACTGTCAAGATGGAAGAAGCAGAAGGAGATGGCTCCGTCAAGATGGAAGATACTACAACTCCAGTTGCTGAACCCAAAGCTAAGAAGTCGCGAGCGAAGAAGCGTTCTATAAAAGAGGTGGATGCTAGCAGCGAGGAAGAGCCTGAGTACATCCCCAAGAAGTCAAGGAGCCGCTCCATGCCATTCAATGGAGCAGTTGGCCTCGTGTAGGCAGAGCTCTTACGTTTCACAGCAAACATACGATGGAGAGGAGATTACAGGAAAGGCGTGGCGAGGAATACGAGAACGACAAGGCAAGGCAGCGTATGGAAGAAAATGTAACAAAAGCATATATACATAGCTGAGACAATCTCAAGTAAGCCTCCTCCTGATGAATAGATGTACTAAGATTTCTCTGATCTTCATGTGACTATCAACAATGGTCTCGAGCTTGTGTTCACTTCGGCCGAGGACACATAGTAGGGCGACTTTTCACCCTCCTGTCATACAGGGATTAGAGCCGACTGCCTGCATGTCTCCAATAACCAGGTTGTCTGGTCTCGTAGGATGTCTGCATATGCAGGCACACCTAGGATGCGAACCTGCATTTATCCGGTAATCCTACCATGACGTCTAGGTTCAAAACCCACGACTGTACCTATCTCAGAGTCTGTCTGGAATCAAAGATCGGATAGCCTGGCTCATCACAAGGTGGTCATATCGTTACTATAGATTACTTGTTGGGACGTTTACCTACACAGACGGAGGATAACATTTTTTGTATGGAAATGCAAGCCAAAAATGTGATGCGGTAAGCGTCAGCAGCAGTACACGATAGGGTCGGCCCGCCAAGTGCTTGTGACCCGAGCCCCAACTTGTGGAAGCTTATTGAGACGCTGAGAACATCAGGCTGCTAGCCAAAGTCGTAGAACCTCCCGCGATATCAGCATCTCACACGAGCTGACTTTCACTTACAGAGCAAGCAAATGATCAACGCAATGATAGCTCTCTGTTGGATGCGAACCACATCGCAAGACGGACTTTGGTTAGTGTTGACGAACCAACCACGTTTACACTGGACTCTGTCTCTGTGAGATATTGGACCCTCTTCGAATCCTTTGAGGGTTGATGTTTTCTGGGTCACAGTTTATCACTGAATGCATGACAGACGCGCGTTCAACCTTAGCACGTCGAAGCCAAACAGGCACGGCTGAACTAGATTGAGCACCGCCATGTGTGATATCTAGCAAGGCTTACAGTCTTGCTCCTTGGCTCTTACAGTCTTCAACGACCTTTGGACTTTTAGGCTTGCTGGATGACGTAGCAATCGTGCGGCTCTCAGGAATGAATTTGACGTGGCCGCCTGTAAAGGTAGGTGAAAAGACTTCCTTGATGATTTATGCAATTCGTTTTGTATTTCCAGGAGTCTCCTATACTCGTGAGATTGCTCCGACGAACATCACGCACTGCCTAGAACCCGACCGGCTTACTCTGTGTCCGACTATCTCCGGGCTCATATTCTTCATTCTACAAGTAAATCATTTGCTAGAACACACCAACATCGACTTATCTAGCTCACTAGTATCGCTTCCAGTATCTGACAGTCGCTTTGACACAGTGCTGACACGATTGGTCATGCGTGGGGTACGCCGTGAAGCACTGTACATCCAAGCTCTCATCACCAACAACATCAGCACAAAAAAGGATGTTGCTACGTCTTCCCAATATCCCGAAAAGATGTTGGTGTCTCACCTTATCAGACTTTTAGAATGAATTTAGCATTTCCCGGGGGATGGGCACAAGTATAAAAAGGCATTTTCTTTCCGCTCTTCATCAATCTCATCTTCAGCTCACAACCACAACATTCCATCTCCACTTTTCCCTCACTCAAAATCATTTTCTTGTCAATATGTATGCCCTCACCATCATCGTTGCCGCCCTTAGCCTGGCTACTGCCTCTCCGGCTTCAGATTTCGCATCTCGTCAGGTTGCTGCTGTTGCCTCTGTCGACCGCTTCACCGGTCCTGGCTGTACCGAAACCATTTGCAACATAGCCGGCTCTGGCGATCTTCGCGCCGGATGTAACACCATCACTGACTCTTGCCAAGGGAGCTTAAAGCTAAACTACGCCAATGTTGGTTGCAAGGGTAAGTGTCTTTCCGATGAAAAAAGGAGGTTGTCTGGGTATAGCAGCTGATTCTAAACAGTGGCCATCTGGACCGACGCGAGTTGCACTAGCGTCACCCAATTTGCTAACGTCACTACGCCTGGCCAATGCTACGCTCTTGGCCCGCCTACCAAGGGTATCTCCGTTACCTGCTAAAGTGTTCGTGGTAGCACTTGGTGTTTCACAGAACCAGGACCTGTTCCTCATTCCAGAGCGTGTACGAGGTAGAGCACGATCTTCAGAGTAGACTTTGCCGCAAGGCACGAGTAGGCTACGTGACTGTTATCCAACATAGCGGTCTGATGTAGCAGCTTGTAGCAATTCAATATACCACCTTTCGTATGGCTATCTGAGATTTGCGTGTGAAGGTTTGTGACAATTCTGCAGATAAGGCTCATGTTCGAATCTAGGTATTGGACAATGTTCACTAGTGCCAGTCCTCTGCGTGTTAGAATTAATGCTTTACAGAACAGCGGAAGACGTTTGCTATCAAATAAGAACATTGCCACTAAGAGAAATCAGTCACATCGGGAGTTGTAGAACGAAAATATGTTGCTGCCTACGAGCATCTATCTCTCTTTTTTCAGAGCTTAGCTCCAACAACGCTGCCGCCATCAAGCGCAATGGTAGCGCCATTGACGTAAGAACCCGCCCGGCTCGAAAGCCAGATACACGTACCCGCAACATCTTCCGGGCTACCAATTCGCCCTAATGGGATACCGCTCTCAATGACATCTTTGAATTTCTCTAGTGTAGCCTTCATCATCTTGCTTTGGAAAGGACCACAAGCAATCGTGTTGCTCGTAATACCGCGCTTGCCCAAGTGGCTCGCCAATACTCTGCTCATGTGGTGAAGACCGGCCTTGGAAGCGGAGTACGCAAAAGTCTCGAGGGCGGGGACGCGCAATCCATCGACGCTGCCAATATTGATGATGCGTGCTGGGGAGCTCGGGGTAGAAGCGGCTTCGAGAAGGGGTGTGACAGCTTGCGTGAGTTGAAAGACACGTTTCAAGTTGAGGTTGAGGACGCGATCCCATGCTGCGGCGGGATACTTGTCGAAGGACTCGCCCCAGTTGCTGCCGCTGTTGTTGACGAGGACGTCGAGCTCTGCAATCTGTTAGTTTCTGCCACATTGCGGTCTCGATGCTTTCTCTTCAAGATGAGATGCTGAAGACATACTTCCTGCTCGTTTCTTCAACTCGTCGGCGATGTTCTTGGCGGCATCTTCTTTGTAAAGATCTGCTGCGATAAAGTCGGCCTTGCCTTTCCCGAGCGCGTTCAATTCTTTGCACGCTTGCTCGCAAGCCTTCGCGTCGCGCGACGATATATACACCGTAGCGCCATTCTGAACGAAACCCTCGCTGATCATGCGGCCGATGCCTTTTGCACCGCCTGTGACGAGAACAACCTTGCCCTATGTACTCGTTAGTTGTCAATTGCAAAAGGTAGAGTCCATGTCAACGTTGACGTACTTTGACATCGAAAAGAGAGCTGTTATCCATCTTGAATACCTGAAGATAGTACAGGAAAGGAAGATAGAGCGGAAATAAGGATGAGATGAAACATCGCGACAGACGGGTAGAGGGTCGTCATCGGGGGTTCGCCGGAAGCTGAAAGCTGGGGTTGAGCCGAGGCTCGGTAACTTATTATTCCGCTGCGTTCTTGAACTTCCGATCGGCCATGACATCACGGGAAGCAGACCCACTCAATTCTAAACATCTCAGTGCATTATCAAAGTTCATTGATATCTATCACTATGCTGGCTTGATACCCTCAGGGTATCGTCAGGCCCAAGTATCAGCTAGTAGAGCCATCAGTATTTCTCAACCGTAGTTATGGCCTACCGCAGCACAATTCCCATTAATGCTATGTGCTTTGTCATGCCTTAATTGCATCAACGACGCGACTATGTGGCTGTCCCAGTCCACCGTCGACAAGCCTGCATGTGCACTTTTCAAGAAAGGACCGTGCTTGTCAGCCAACTCGCTGTCTCCGATCACAGACAAGGGAAGCACAATGTCAATGAAGCAGAGGTAGTAATGATATTTTTGTTTCTTCATTGAACGTAGATAAATAGTCCCATTACAACGTCACTCATAAGTATACCAGCTCTTTTTCAGTTCCCTCATTGCGTCCTCTGCCTCCGCATACTTCCTACTTCCCTTTGGTGCATCGCCCAGCCACTCGGCTATCTGTTTCCTGTTCTTCATGTACTTAGCCTCCGCCCTCTTCCTCTCTCTGGCTTGGCTTTTGAGATATGAAAAGTCGTCATATTTGAGCGTTTCCCTCCAAACCTCGCGCATCCTCTTGCTCCACAGACAGCAGCTTGATCCGACATCTGGATCCTCACCAGGCACTAGCTGAATCGACTTGTTGAATAGATGTGGTATAGGAGACGTTACGGATTTGGACTGGGTGGCGGGCCAGATGAGCTCATCATAGCATTGCTCACACACTGTAAACTCGGGTAGAGAGGGGACAAAATGCCATGGTTTGCGGAACAAAGTCCTGGACCTTGCACACTCGCCCTTGAAAGAGTTTTCCCGGATCAACTTGATGAAGCGATTCAAGTCGGGTAGTTGGCCGGACAATTCAGCCTCCCTGTCAAGTTCCACGAGTAGGTCCAGGTATTTGGCGAAGCGAGAGGAGCTTGTACGTAAGCTACATGTATCCGAAGAATCGATATAACCACGCGGAATCTTGGTGAAGCAACCCCGAAGTGATGGCAATAAAGCCTCGATCATTCTCCTATCACTTGAACATATAGCAAAGTTGGCTATATGGGTGCCGTCCCGTTGATTAGGAATGCCGTACCAGCTGACATTACGTTCTGCGCCGGCTTCACGATCTCCAGGGCATGGACTGACTACATAATCCATGATATCCGCGATTGCATAAATCAGATCGAGTGATGTACGACGTTGCTTTACTGTAAGTAACCATGCAAGACGTGTCCAGGGACTGCTAAAATCACAGGTCCGCTCGGCCGGCCAGTCGCCCAACCATATCTGTCTGAAATCCACGTCAAAAGGCGTTCCAGCAAAGACGCCTTCGTAACAGCTAGGGCAGATGTTAAAGTTCTTGTGGCCTTGTAAAGCATACCAATCATCATAAGGTCCAGATTTGACAGATCTTGGGCAATCAGGGAGCGGCCTGTCCATAGAAGCAGTCCTCCGAGACGACCTATCACGGCGGCCGTCCTGTGAACGAAGACTATCCGATCTGGTCCTTGTTGTACGTGCCGACTCCTCTACTATCTCAGGGTCTTGTCTCCTAGACCGGGAAGGCAATTCTCTCGTATATGGTGAGCCAGGAACCGACGGCGAACTCGCTCTCGGAATATCCACATAGCTGTCTCTTGGCGATCCAACAGTCGAGTGATCAAACTGATAGTGCTCTTCTGGCGGCATGAAGACATCGATGAGCTGATCGTCTATGGGATATGGTAAAGCAGAGTCGGAACTTGATTGTCTCGCCGGGGACGGACTGTGAACATCGATTCGAGGCCTTGGAAGCGGCATGGTATCGTATCTACCATATCGAGAAGGCTGTCTTGATCTGTCGCTGGTGGGTGCGGGAGGATACGTGGAGTGCCAATCCGCCTCTGATATGGGTACCCGACCACGGCCTGGCGAAGAAGGCTGGAATGTCGTTGAGAAAGACAGGGGAGAGGCCGGTCGAGCGCCACCGCGAGAGGATGGTCGAGAGTCTGGAGGAGAATCGCGTAGGCGTGTGGGTAGTTGAGGTGAGGGTGCGCGCTGCGATGGTGAGCCTGGTCTGGATAATGGGCGCGAACTGTTGGCGGAGATAGTGTCGACAGGCACAGGTCTTGATTTTCTTGTGCTGTTCAGCGAGGACGAGGATGAGCGCGGTGAGTGAGCATTCGAGTATTCCTTTGAGGAGCCTGACGAATCACCCTTACGTATCGTCGGCAGTGGACGCTGTCCAGAATCCCGCCGATGCGATTCAGGCCTCTCGTGTGTCTCGCGCAGATTTGTCCTTAGGTCCTCCCGTTGTAGGTCGCTCTTCACGAAGCTGTAACGCGCAGGCTTTCGTTCGGTTCGCAGGTGGGTAGTGCTGTCGGTTTCGGATTCGGAGTCGAAGACGTACTCCTTCTTGGACGATCGCGACGTCGTGTAGGAGTTGTGCCGGCTTTCACTTGGTCTCGGTCTCGAGGGGGTCATGGGTTCTGGAGAGCGCATGTACTCGGCAGTAGACGGTGCGGTAGACTCTTTCTGGGGCTTGGAATAGCCGTAGGGGGTCCTCTCTCGTTCGACGAACAGAGGGGGGTCCGGGACGTCAGTGTTGATGTGCGACATGCCCCCACGCTCAGCAAAACTCCTCCGGCGACGGTCCCGAAGCGTGCTGGTCGTATGCGTGCCATGGTCGTCTGGGCTGTTCTCAGACACGAGCACAAAGCGGCGGTCATGGTCTTGTACGACTCTCGGCTGCTCGATCTCGTCGAGGAGCGAGTCCTGGTCGACGGTGCCCCGCGTGTTGATCGGCGGCTCACCCTCGGCCTGCCCTGACGACCCCACAGACGCCGGCGCCTCTTTTGCTAGCGCCTCCCTCTCGTCCTCGACACTTGGAGACGGCGGCCATGTCCTCTTCTGCAGGTGCGGCCTGTATGAATGCGGCGCCGACTGTCGGGGTGGGGAAGTGCGGGGTTCGTAGGCGCTGTAGGTGTTGTAGGACGACGTATATGGGTTGCTTTGGCGCATGTCTGCCAGCTGCTCGCGAGCCTCAGCTAGAGTCTGGTCGTGCCGCGAGTAGGCATAGGCAGTGCTGTCGCGAGATGTATAGTGAGAGTCATGGCGCGGGCGCTGGTAGTACCGGCTGTCGTATTCGTAAGACATGTATTTTGGTACGGGAGAGATGGTCAGGCGAGCAGTGTCAGACTAGTGGCTATCTTATGCATTGAGCTCTGGCGGTTGGCTAGGGCGGCTTCAAGAGTATCGAGATGGAATTCGAGGGCCGGGCAGGTATACATAGCGCGGCAACAACGGGCATGTTGGACGTACAAAGATGCTTGGTGACGCATGGAGCCCCGTCTGTGAATTGCGGGTCGCGCCTTCTTCGCGCAGCGTCCCCACCGCTGGCGGACCCTTATTTGTTCGCTTCATGTTCCCTACACGACGCCCACCGCCTGTTCGCCCGTCTTCGCCTTGCAAAGATGCCCAGGTAGGACCTTGCAGGTACCGTTACGATATCATCTTCTTCACTCTGCGCTTGCTGGTGCCATGATTCACATATGGTACTTTTGGCTTCTGTACGATACAAGTGCCGTATTAAGCATCGGACGCTCCCTCTAGCACCTTCTGAACCCTTGCCCCAAGCAAAAATAGCAGTATTCGCCATCATGCTACGATGCAGTGACACTATGACTTCACAATACGTAAGTGCACTTCTTCTCTTCACATATCCCTATACTTAACATGCCGCACTATTGGCGCAGACGTTACGCTACATCGTCTATGAGCCTGCAACCCTTTGTGCGCCACCTCGATATGCTCAGGGGCAATCTCCCCAACTTTAGGACATTTCTTCAATCTGTCGTCTTCTTCTATCAGTGACAAGTACAGGTACTGCATGCTTTCTTCAGGTACCGAATTTCCCCCTTGTCGCACAACCGGCCGCCTCCGGAAAAGCGGTAAACGGCACTCTAACACCGCCACATTGTCTGCAGCCACCCTCACTAGCCTCGTCACGCGCCTCACCACTTTCTTAGCCCTTTTACAACCATATCAAGCGCAATTGTCACAGACAGCGCGCTTTCGTTCATAATCGACACCAAATCATACCACGCGGCGCACAATACCTTCCGAAGTCGTCGACCGACCGGTCACAGTCTGCCTTGCGTCTCAATCTCCTGCTATTAGTACTTTGGCTAATCCCACCGGTAGCCCAAGGCCCAGTGAAGCTCTCACCGGGTATGCGGCTCTGCATGTGCATCAAGGAATACACTTTTGAGCTTCTTGCGATCACGTCAAGGACTAAAGATCTGCTAAGTCATCCGCGTGATGCATGTAGCTGCAGGCAGTGTGGCTGTGCAAGGCATCTTTTCCGTAAGCGACCGGTGACGGAGTACGTAAGCACCGATATAAAAGGGAAGACTCGGGAACATGAGGTTGACGAGATCTCGATATGGACAGCCGTAGTGGTATCTCCGGTAAATCCAGTTTCCAAGAAAGATGAGTTATTTCCTCGTCGTCTTAAGCCCGATAACTCCACTTGCAGTTTCACACAATGTATTCAAGGCATTGAGAAAAATCGTATCATTGCAATGACACAGGTGAAGTATCTATATAAAGCATGGCAAGACTTTAGATATTGTAGACCAAACCGCAGACATCATAATCTTTGTATTCATTACAACCATGGCCGCCAAAGCTCACCTTTCCAACCTAACCACCCGCGAAGCCATAGCCGACACTCTCCACCGTTGCATCCTAGGTCTCGACAGTAACAACCGGTCTATGATGGAATCCGCCTGTCTGAAAACCCCTGAGATGACATTCATATATGGTCCATCGGGCAACCAAGCCACTTTGGCTGGCTGGGATGCCATCAACCCCATGTTCGATCGTGTCTTCGGCCTCACAACCACGCATACTGCAAGCAACATACGCATTGAGCTAGAAGGAGAAAACGCGAGTACGGCGCGAATGACGGCACATGTCATTTCCTACCACGTGAGAGGGGAAGAAGCGTTTGTCGAGGCCGATACCAGTTACACAGCGAGTTCGTTGTACGACATCGAAGTAATCAAAGACGGCAATGATCAGGGACTGTGGAAAATCAAGACATGGAAGGCTACAATGTTGTGGACAACTGGGGATATCAAAGTGTTGCATCCGTAAGGACATAACTGCATATCGGCTACATAACGAATTTTTCTGCTATCGTTCTTCCAATATCATCATCTTTTTTGTCGTCTTTTTTATAACATAACGAGATGTTTATCGCAGAGAAACATGTTTCTAATCCAGACGCCGGCGCCGAACCAACATGCCCTATTGATCGCTATTTCCGCAGACCAAAATGTCGGGCGCACATGTGCTAGGGTATCAAAAGCAGCTGGCACAGAGCCAAAATGGAAATTGAGAAGAAATCGCTGGATGTGGTCTGGGATTAAGAAGATTAACAAGATAGCCTGGTCCTTGATTGCCGAGCTTAGAAGTAGTTGCCCTTGGGGATGGCGCAGAAGATGCCGACGGCCACGGCAGAGATGATGAGAGCACCGATGATGGCCTGGATGAAGATGGTGTCTTGGATTTGGCGGAGAGCAGGTTCTTGAACCCAGACTTCGCGGTCAAACACCTTTCGGATAACATTGCGCTTCTCATATCTGGCGACCCATGGCTCATCTTCCCAGGAATTGCTTGATGCATGTGAGTCGATGCTCTGGAAAGAGTCGGACTTGATGTCATAGCTTTGCGGCTCGTCATCAGATGCAAAAAGCTCCCATGGACGCAAATGTCGGTGATGCATGCCGTGCAAGACCACACACATGCCCTTCCATGCTGCGATCAATGTTGAGATACCGATGAAGAATCCGATGAGAGAGATGACGCGCCATGCACGACCGGCACTGCTAAGAGTAAGGATGATCGCGACTATCAAGCCGGCCACAATACCGAAGATACCGAGGCCGCGAGCGAAGATGACACGAGGACGGTTGCCGTTGCAAATGGTCCAGCGGATGAAGTTGGGGTGCGCCTGGCAACGGAGCGACCACTCAACAGTAGTGATGATGTCACTGAATGCGGACGGGTGTGTCGTGTTCTGCAGAGCATGCAACAGTGCTGTGCGCTCTTTTGATGAGAGATTCAGCTGGCGCGAACCATTGTCGGCAATGTAGATGGAGATTATGCGATTGATCTCTTCCCGGTAAGGCTGGACAGATACTGTGGCGGATGAGCGATTGGACACTAGAGAAGAGAGGAGATTCGCAAAGGTTATACTCACGTGGTTTCCACTTTAGTCCTGCGTTGTCAAACGCACCAGCAGCACGTTGAGTGTGATCAACTTTGCCGGTGGTCATGCTCTCATCGTACGAGTCAAGAGAATACTCGCGCCCAGCAGGCTCGACACTAGTAGGTGTACGAGGTGGGGTGAAGAAGGGGTTGTTGCTGCCCTTCTCCGATTCAGCGACCTTGCCCTCGTTGGCAAAGTCGGTTCCTTTCAAGATGGCTGCAGCGCCGGCATTGAAGTTTGCTGGGACGTTTTTGGCGTCAGAGTTCTTTTCGCCACTCCACTCGGGAGACAGAACCCTCTCGCTTTCTGGTAGCGCATTGAAACGCTTGACGTAGTCGCGGTACCAAAGGAAGAATTGCAGATTCTCTGCCGACAGTTCAATGTATTTGAGGAAGTTCATAAAGTCACGGACCGTGCAGGGCTGGCAAGAGTCAGCATTGCTCCTCGTGAAGGTGATGCGGAGAAGAGTGGGCACTTACAGGGCAAGCACCGCCTGCGATAATGGTGTCAAAGGACAAGGCCTCGGGAATACCGTTGGACATGCCGCTGCTGCCAGACTTGACTGATTCATGGATCGACCTTCGCTGATGTTCACTCGAGTTGGTCGAGGCAGTGCCAGGACGAGGCACACGCTCAGGACGGCGATAGGACAGTGAGTAGACCATATTGAGCAGCCTCTAGCGTCAGGGTCTGATCAAGAAGGAACGTGGTGATGTTGCGGGGCAGTGACGACAACGCTTGTCAAGTCGCGTGGTCGTTTGTAGGTGATAGGCAAGAGCAACCGTTTACACGCACCGAGCCGCGTGTAGAGATGGAATGCTATATACCTACTCGATCGATGGGGCGAGTGGAGTACCGGGTCCAAGCTAAGGGAAGGCTGGAAGAGAGCTATTGGGGTAGCCGTCCAGTAGTTGCGCACAGAGACGACCTTTGTGTAAGACAGGTCGTAGCGCGGACCTGACTAGTGATGGCGAACAAAAAGTGGAATGGAGGTAGAGGAAGTTTGCGCCGTGCGTCTCGAGAGGTCAAGTATGTAGAGATGATGGGGTGTTTATACCCGACTCTCGGCATGGCCGCATACCCATGCCCATCTCGGCCAGAAAGCGCTTCATTTGTGACAGGCACATGGCTCTCCACCTCTACTGCTTCCTGCCGCGTACGGGCATTCGCCCAAATGAGAGTCGGCTGTAGCGTGGGGACGTCAACGCCTGGTTGCACATGGGATCCTCGAGGTCGCCGACGAGTAGGCGCGCCCCACAGCAAGCGTAGACTGCAGCACCGCGACAGATGGCAGAGACTAGCATACCGGGACATGAAGATATGCACTAGTGCCATGCGCCGTGAGGAGTCGGTAATCTGGGCAGAACCCGTGTCGATCGTCTGGACCCGGGCTTAGCCCCCTACCACATTTGCAAATCTCTACCCGGTTTACCAACCTTCTGGCTGTGTAAAACACACCATGGCGCCGACGATCAAATGTCACATTGCGATACAGCCGTTGGGAAATGAAGACTCGACACACCCACCTTGTCAGAATGTCTTGGTGTTCTAGTGATGCAAGGGATACCTCAACGTTCGCAAGTGCGGGTGGAGAACCGAAGCGAGCGACAATCACGATGCTACTTTGAGAAGCTACAAAAGCTACAAAAATGCGGAGTGACGTTCTCTCAGACAGCCACAATGTTCTTTTAGACAGCCACGAATTTCATAATTGTACGCGATCGACAGTGCATGCATAATGCCAGGAGCAAACGAACGCCAACACTCCAATCGGCAGCCGTCATCGTCGGGATTAGCGGTCAGGATGCGCGCATGCAGCCTTTGCCTGCGTCGCGCTCGGCCTCGAATCGTCACCACGCGTACCAAACTATGCGACCACTGCTTCGCTTAAGCCTGGCCATTCTGCAACACCTCATCGACAAAAAGTTTGCTTCGCGCTCTCACCACTTAGAGTTGTCTTGTGGCTTGCGAGTCATTGCGATAACGTTGAACCGGTGGATAAGGCAAAAGCAGAGTTGATCGGATCCCAGCCCGCTGCCAATCTGGTATGCAGCAACGGCAGAAGCAAATGTGCCGCCTACGACATACCCAAGCTACAACCGAGATGGGGGAAAACGCCACCATGGTCAGGTCCTTGGAACCTCCAAAGTCCGGACTCCTTTGGTGCCAGGCTGATAGAGACAAATGGGTATTACTCGGTGGAATATGTCGCGCGAATCCTATATTCCACTCTACCCCTATAAACAGCATCATCTTCGGCGATGCATGAAGGGCCTTTTCTGCCGACACCCGTCTACGTCAAAGATGAATCGTGGACACCACGTCTCAACACCTGCGATGCCAGCACCAGATTCTGAGGATAGCCGAAAGTCAAACCCTGTCCCCGCGGAATGTTGATCGATCATGTGGCTACGAACAAGCGTACGAGATGCGAAACTATCTGTAGCAAGCCCCGATCGTGGGTCCCTTGTGTTGCGCGATGGTGCTGGGCTGTTAGCTCAAACGCTTCGTATACGCCGTACGATGGTAGAGATGTAGCGCTAGAGCTTAGATCCGCCGAAACTTTAGAATTTCAGAACTTTGACACTGAGTCGCAATGGGTCATTGACAAAAGCGGATTCACATCTTCAGGGATTTCCTAAACGAGGTATGTGAGACACGATCTGCAGTAGCAACTTTGTACGCGTCCTACGATACTCGCCACCGCAAACGTTCAAAATACGATCTCAAACCTCGTTAACATCGCGCAGCCCGCTACGCATTTGGTCGGTCAAATTTGTCAAATCGCTCAGGCCAACAGCCCCCAATCAGTGGGACTCTCGATGCTAAGATCTAGGCTGCTTCTAGCGGCACGCGCTTTGGCCTCGCCGATTGGACTCAACCCACAGGTTGGGAAATTGACGCGATGTGAGCTACGCGTGGCTTGTACCTCGGCGCATTGGACCCTGTGCATCCAGCCCGCGAACGGGATGTGTTTGCATGGAGTTGTTTCTTTCTTCTTCCCGTGCAACGTCTTCGCTATTACTTCCGAAGCCCTGGATCTGGCGAATGCTTTCTGTCGTACCGATAAGATGGGTTCAAGCCAGGATTGCTGTCGTATATCTTTGCTAATCGACTGTATACCAGGGAGCCTATGGTGTAAGTCTCTGTACCCCGCTGTTCGGTATCCCTTAAACGTCATCGACCAGCAACATCCTCCTTGAGGAACTTCCACGTCGCAGCACCGAACGTTTCAACAGACGAACAACCGGAAAGAGGGCATGTGTACGCGACGACAGCGGGAGGCTCAGGGGAAAAACTGATGTTCGCGTAGACTGGCATGTAGCGTGACGCCTCCAACAAGTGAGCTTGTGTGACGTGATTGGTGCACTGAGCGGCACATGGGAATCGCGCATATCGCTGGCCCGTCTTTTGCAGAATCCCATGCCCTCATCTCCGTCCCGTGCCCACATACGATCGTGGGCTTCCTTTCGACCTATATCCAGCTTCCAGACAACTTAAAGGACTGACCGCATTGTGGCCGATGCTGCAGAAGCTGCTATGGAGTTGTCGGAAAGCGGCTTGTATGCTGAAGAGCTGACAAACACAAATGCAATCCCGTACGCCTGGCGTTCTTGGTGGGCGCCAGCGATATATTAAACAGGCAGGTAGCTGGGTACGTCTGCTTGGTCTAGCGATAGAGACATCGGTCGCGAGCCGAGTCTATGCGTTGCAGTCCGTGAAGGTGAGTGCACAGCTCGGTGCACGTTGCGTCAATGCTGAGCGATAGAGGCAATGACAACGTGTCGATGAATCTATATTGAAGGAACATTCGGTGACATCTGCCACGCTAACCAATTGCATCCGACGACTGAAGGTGACACGAACGATTAGAAATCATCGTCACATTGCGATAGTACCACTGGTGTGTACATCTCACGGAAGCGTAGACTCGCCAACTGCCTTTCGCAACGGATTGTTCGACGAACGATGATCATGTCGATTTCCAATGGCGATGGCGTGTTGTGATCAGAAGAGCATGGTATTGCATAACTTTCAACCTCTATTCATCTCTCGTGTTCCTTTCAATTCTCCCTTTACTGCACTCCTCGCGTAGAAAAGGTTTCTCGTCCTTGCACGCCGTCCACACATGCCGAACTATCTCCCTCTGGTCATAATATTCGGAAAAGAGAGGTGAGCAAACGGAGACTCATGGTGAATGAGACCCTTAGAGACGTTCCATTCTTCGAACATGTTTTACGCAAAAAGCCCTTGACAAACAAGTTGTTGATTATCCAAATACTTTACTCTTAATGCTATTTCCTTCCATCTTCGCTCTACACATCGTCCAAATGGCACCTTCCTGGCGGGAACCTCAACATGCCTGCCGTACGCCGATCACTCTGATAGAAACTACTGATGAGCAACCGCTCTCCCAGATTCCACGATTGGGGTTCCAGGTCCTTCATTATCACAGATCTTCCTTGGATCCAGATTCCGCGCTCATCGTACATTCTATCGGCATTTATCACACCTTCGCCCTCGCCCAAGCGGTAGCCTTGTCCGAACTACAGCGTACATTAAACGATTGCCTTCGCATAGGATATCACGGCCGCTATTGCGACCTGATCGATTGCAGTTCTCGGGGGTTGATCACAGTGTGCAAGGAGAGTACGATGGATGGTTATATGTTCATGCGCGAAATTCCGGTGAGCGAGTTTCGCTTGGAGAAGCTCAACATGTCGCACGACGCATCACAGGCAGGGACATGTCTTACAAAGGAGACCAAAATCAACACACAAGTAATCGACACCGCATGGCCACTCGTTAGGCTGCCCGCCACACCGGAGCAGCACAAAGAACCAATAACTCCGAAACGCATAGCGAGGCGGGGAGAGCACGTTGTGATGCACGAGCCTGCTCCGTTATCTCCGCAATTCCCTCCACTAGGTGTCCAGTTCGACGAAGAACGTCAGCCAGAGTGGCCACAGACTCGCATGCCATGGTTCGACCGGCGGGACGATGCACCGTTCCGTAGACCGGGCCAGACGCCATATGCGCAAGTCATGGCCTTCTCGACAGCTGTGCCCACTTCATCTACATGTTCTATTCGATTGGGATCTAGGCACAGCAGCAAGTACACAACATCAGCTTCCTAAGAGCCGAGCAACATATAGCATGAGAGACATTGTCTGGTGCGTGGGAGAAGAGGTGAGATAGCTACGTTAGTAGATAATCAAAGCAGCGTCTTCAGAAGGGCTGCCGATTAATCGTTGGGTACGATCATGATTGGAGATGGTTTATTCGGTACTTGAGTTTAGTACAAATGGTTCACATGCTCGTACAAGGGTCAGAAGCTGACTATTCAGAATGCACTCGAGGTACCAATAACATTTTTGCAGTGAGGAAAGGGCTTGTAATGACGCTGTGTTTGACTGCTGTAATTACAATGTCGCTGCACCCTTGAAACCTCTTCCCCATGTTTGGTCATCATGCTCTTTTACAATCCCTTCCGAGAACCCACTCTTCCTGTAGGTTCTCGCCATAGACATTCTCCCGTCCAGTCAATCTGTGACACACTCCCTACACACTCAAAATTCACAATACCAGTCGCAACAAAATCCACACCCTACTCTAGCAAATCCTCACTTAGTCACTTTTCTTGGCGCCACCGCCACTGCCTGGACCCCTGGCAAGTGCACCCCCGGCACGTACCGCTACGACCCCACCCTTACTACCATCGAAACGTGTGCTGTGTACGGCTGGATTTTAGTTTTACTTTTTAGATCGAACACTTGGATCACCAATGCCGTTGACGGTGTGTTATACTGCCATGATGCTTCAATTTAAGGCAGCATGTGCACTATGGGGTTGAGTATGACGATACGATTGCTTGCTGTGATGCAGCGAACTTCATTACGCCGATTGGAAAGCAAAGGAAGAGCGCTCGTGTATTCACGCGAGGGTGCTTAAGTGGCTTACATGGGAAGGCTAATGCAGATTTCAGGCTAGCACATTCAAGTAGTGAACTGCGTTTTGCCATGCTTCGGTATCTGCTACTCCTGAAGATCTTCTCATATATACAAGGCATGGGTGACGAATGACTTAGTCTACTGAGCCTCCACAGACCAATCGGTAAGCATCAGCAACTACTGCACGTTAGAAAGAGGGTGTGTGGGGTTGCACAGACCATCACAGGTGTGAGTGGGGCTTTGCGGAAGAGGCGCCCAGCGAAGAAGCAAAAAGGATGCACAAATGTGGAGTACTCTTTGGTAAATGAGATCTACAAGATCTACCTATCGAAATAGCAATTACACTGAATTGGCTGACGCGTGATCATGTGAGCAACCGTCAATGCTTCTCTGACCAGTTGGTTTCTGCGTTGTCGACAAAAGCATAGTAAGACAAAGGAATGACAGGGTGTGATCTACGCGCGAAATGCCTTGAAAGTCGAAGTAACAGCCCGTGTCGCATTCAAGTGCCCTGGAAGCGCGGGGATCCAGTCCTCATCGCCGATGTCTTCGATGACCTTACGCGGCACGCTACAGCTGTTCATCATCTCCATGCTTTGTGTTTTCATAGACGAGCATCCAACGTAACATTCTTCGTCCATGATCTTCTGCAATGAGTCGTCCTTCCATCCGAAGATATAGTCGCCGTGATTGCCGTACCCGGTATGGTCACTGAAAGAGTAGACAAAGGGCTGGCTACCGTCTTCTGGCCAGAGCGAAGGGTCGTTGAACGGTGCGGTTTCGTAGATGACTTCGTACATGAGTTGAGGCATACGCACGGGATGAGAAGTTGGACAAGGGCCTTGGCTTTCAAAAGTACCAGATACTGGATAGGCCTACAGTACATTAGATGGCATCATCCCAAGCGAGGTAGGGTCTCTTTTACCATGTGCGCCATGTGGTCTGGTGAATCTAAATCTTTACCATTCCAACAGCTACTATAATCAGCACGGCTCTGGCATCAAGGAGATATGTCATTGCTCACGTTGGAAATCTCAAGTTAACCATGATGCCTGCTGGACAGGGCTTGGTAGGAAATGCTTTAGTCTCCGGAAAGCGGGTGCCTGGGTTTTGCAGACATGTGTACGTGAGTTGTGGGTACCTATCCGCTTCCGATTTTGTGGTTGCGGTTGGTGAACCGATTAGCATGCGAAAGCCCGGTTGAAAAGCTTTCACTTTCGCCTTCTGCTGGTAGTCGGCAAGTTGGTTCTGCATATAATAAACGGTCTTCATAGGCGGGAACAGTCAGTACACGTCCCTTGTCTGGTTTGTGCTTTTAGGACTCACCATGCCACCATTCTGGCCTTCGAACCCTGCATTGCCTTTCTGACTGACGCGCTTATAGGTTCCGTTCCTTGCGCGAAAATAGAGAGAAGCGGTCCAGTAGTTAGAAAAATCGTCTGCAGGCTGGCAAGTGGTGCAGGTGGACATTGCTGGTGGATCATGAACATCCGGGCTCATATCAGGGACGAAAGAGTTTCCTCCAATGATCTGGTGGAGATGAGCTGACGGAGCGTTTCCAGGCTCAACCAAGGGATCGAGACGGTCTACCACGAGCTGCGAGCACCCGAACCGGATGAGAGCATGGGTCGGGGCAACGAACGCCAACGCGGTAAGAGACTTCAAGAGCATCTCGAGCTAGTTTGTCGTGAGCTGCAGGCAAGTATAGAGAGATATCTTTGCAGGAGCTACTCCGACTTATGTGTTCGAGAAACATCAACTCTTCATAACAGAACGGAAGTAACAGACGACGCTACGGACGGGCCGCAGCGCAATTCATTACTCCGACTGCATGCTTCAACCGATAAGGAGATGAGTGCTACCAATGCCTAGCTCGAAAACTACATTAGCCCCACCTAATATATGTGAACGATTGTCGAATGTACTGTACTGTTCAGAGCAAGTGCCGGGTTTGATGGATCAGCGTTCATTTGGGCTTTGTCGAACACATTGGAATCAATTTTCAGATCCCTGCAATTGTGAATCGAATAAGTGACATCCAGCTCACACGCTGTTATCATTCGGCAGTCCAGAAGGGGGATATGTTGGCTGATAACCCGTAATTGTTGGGGTCCACTCGCTACTCAGTAAAACCGCACAGGATCCATGAGAAGAAAGCGAAGATAGTAGCGAAAGGAGGATAGCGCAAGTCTGAGGGACATTCACACCGTATGCCATAAAAACCATGCGAGCGTATCATACACAACTGTATATGACACAGGACAGATGCGAACTCCAGCATGATCTTCCGCGTAACCGAGTTGACCCCACAGACCGTGCCATGAAGTAGATTGGTATGCGGGGCATCAGCCCTAACAGCCACATATTTTCAATCGACCTTCTGTTTCTTTGCTTAAGGTTGCTAAGGAGCATAATCGGTCATAATCTGTAGCTAGCCAGCTGTGTAAAGGGCAGCATAGGAATCTTGCGCGGCGAGGTATTGCTCGATCCAGGCATAAGTGGCTCATGGGCGTAGCGGAGGGCATAACGCGTATCGCGCGGAATATTGTATCAAGTGTACGGCCGCGGAGTCCTCTACATGGTATAGATGACCTGTGGGGAGATGATGCCCTATCCATGGAAGTCTTAGTGGGATGGTAGGTGACAAGTGCCCGACAGAATGCTTCGCGGCGCGATGCCGGTTGCGCCTACCCGAAAACGGCATAGGCAATCCGTAGACACGTGTCAGCCCAACCATCAAACTCACCGCTTGAGCCTCATTTCCATCACGATCGCTCACTAGATCCTCCAACCTGCAGAAACGTAGATCTCAATGCAGGACCGCACCAATGATAGCTCTTGGAAATTCAGGGCGCTGTACCAAGGATGCAAACGCTTATGTCTCACGTCGACTCTGCAGATGAGCCCCACGTGTGAGGGTGCTCCCACGGAATGACTCTTATCGTACGTGCGCGATCGTTGAGGCTGTTGACAAGGCTAAACTTGGATGCAATGATCTTTTGCAGACCGCTCGGTGATGTCTTCCCCATAGCGGTGTGTTGTCTGGAGTGGATCTCGAATCTGGGGACGCGACTATATAGAATTGAACCTGTACTTCGCACTTTGAGAACGATCGATACATCTACCCCTACCGTCATATTGTTAGATTCACTTTTTAATCTTCGTCATTCGAACACAGCACCATGCCCATCATGTCGCCTCACGTCATCACTGCTTTTCAGCAGTACCTGAGATGGGATAACGATATCAAACGACACCTCGATGCAAAAACTCGGGCGAGAACAGTCTCAATTACAAGGAGTAGCCGCACTGCCTCCATGGAAAGACAAGACCAAAACGTGTGGCGCCCGAGCAACGTGAGGAGGAACTCAGCGGGGAGTGAATGGTCAGTGTAAATGATGGGAGGTATGGGCCTGAGTTGGAGAGGTATGTCTCACTCTCACTCTACAATTCGAAGACACTTTAGCATGCTTCACCATTCACTATGAGCATATGGCAAGCCTTGTGGCATGACAGAACTCTTCGAATGAGACAGTTTTCTTGCTCAACCTCATCCTCGTCCAACCTCTGAGAGTTTCATTCTCGAGCATCACAAACTGACAATCAGATGCAGAACACCACAATCAACTCCTACGGCATGATCAGAAACCCATACCTTGACTACCTGTACCAAGGCCAGTACGATTACGAGCTCCTCAACAACATCAAGAACAACGCCAACCAGCACATTGGCGACTACAAGGCCCTTGCGGCTAAGCCACTAGCCCAGCACGATGCTTTCCTAGACACTGTTAGGGACCATGCTTACCACGTCCCCGCCTACTTCGACCGAAGCGAAGCGCCCAAAAATACACATGAGCATGCCAGAGAAGAGGTGAAGCTCGAATTTGACCCTCCACTCAGCCATTATGCGGAGCTTAGAGGTGGTCTGCCGATTGGCTATGTCTGGATCCCACCAAGTTCTCCCGAACCTGAGCCTATGCCACGCAAGGCAACTCCGGAGGAAGACGTCGTTCCCGTCACTCCGTCAAGGCCAGTCAGGACTGTGACTACTATTAAGAAGCCCAAGAGGAAGAAGACTGTCATTTTCGCCTTCAGCCCTTTGCAAAAGAAGCGCAAGCGAGAGACTACCGCCGAGTACCATATGCGCTTCACCAGTCCGCTTTCGGAAGAGCTGTCGGATGCGCCTAGTGGTTTGCTGACACCTGAGCCGAGAGAACTTGTACTGCATCGCAGGTAGTAAGTGGGAATGATACGTTCGGTGGATATCGGTGGACAAGACCAAGTGGTAGATCAGGAGTGGGAGAGGTTACTACGTATAGGAAGTTGGCTGATAATGGGGCTATAGTTCTTTCTTCCCATTTGCCTTCAATGCCATACCCTTTTGTCTCCTCACACCCGCAAAGCCTTCTAGTATACCGATCCACATCTGAACCAACGTGATGACTATCCTAGCAACGTGATCTTTCCATTCAAGGAGTGGTTTCCTTCCACGCATGAACTTGGCATCTATTACCTCCCAACCAGCATCACCTCCTAATGCCTCTCCAACCTGCAATCCACTCCGACAACCATCCTCATGAAAGCCATAACCTGTCCATGCGCCCGCGTACCAGATACCTTGCTTTCCTTGAATCTCATGAAGCCGATCTTGCGCAAATACCATGCGGGAGTTGTACAGTGGGTGTCGGTATTGGTAGGTTGCATGAGTCAGAGCCGGAGAGGGAGGATGTGGAGGATTGAGAGTGACAAGTACGTTGTTGTAGACTTCGCGCGGGATATGCTGCAGAGTGTTCATGTCGTAGGTCAGGCAGACGGTCTCGAGAGCACCCGAAGAAGTGGTCAGGTTTGCGTACGATGGGGCTTTAGATTTGGACGTGGTGATGTAGTTCCAGGCGGACCAGGCTGTGCGTCGTTGGGGCATAAGCTAGACATTGTTAGCTACACTTGCATATATGGGACATTTGAAACTTACTGAAAGATCGGAATGCAGGTAGGCTGTATTCGGCGTGGTCTCGAATGCATCCATAATCTCCTTCTCTGCCACTGTCGCGTCGTCACCTAGCATCCACCTCGTCTGATCTCCGTGACAAGCAAGCACCACTTCATCGAATACCTCCGTCTTTCCCTCTCCTTTTCCACCCAGCCTTAATTCCACTTTTCCGCTTTTCCTAGTCACAGCCAGGACCGGTGTACCAAGATGACCTTCACAGTTTCCAGCCAACTCTAACACAGCGTCGATATATTTGCTAGATCCTCCTTCAACGGTCAACCATGGCGGTCTCTCTGCAATTGTGCTGAGCAGGTGGTGATTCCACATAAACCGTACCAACGTCAATGCCGGGAACTCAAGAGCACACTTATCGGCGCCGGTACTCCATACACACGCAGTCATTGGAATTAGATAATCGTCTCTGAACGCGTCTGAATATCCTTCTCTTTCAAGATACTCGCCAATGCTCATCTCTGTAGCGGCGACAGCTGCAGGTGAGCCTGGAGTGATGGCCAGTAGATCCAGAGCAAACTGGTTGAACCGGACGATGTCGAAGATCATGCGCCAGAACGAGGGTCTGAGTGCATTTTCAGGTTGCGCAAAAAGCGAGCTGCCTGACGTGCCAGACCATTCAAAAGCACCAGCGTCACGAGATATCCCAAAGGTCATCTCTGAGGCTACAGTCTTGACTTGCAAAGCTGATAGAAACTTTATGAAATTTGCTGGGCTTTGTTAGTACCGAGACAACACGGGCGCAAGTTATGGCAGGAGACGAACGGTATGTAGCGGTGTTGAGAACGATGAAGCCCGTATCCACGGGCGTGCTCTTGCCATTGTGCGTCCATGTCACGGTGTTTGTATGACCACCAAGACGTTCCTCTTTCTCGAAAAGATGCACCTCATGCTGGGTATTACGGAGTGCATAGAGGGCGCTCAGGCCAGATATGCCACTACCAACGATGGCTATGCGCTTCTTTTCCATCTTGCCGCTCATGATCAACTAGCGCGTATCTGTGGCAGGTATACTAACGGCCAGGTACACGATATGAGTTGACGCACCAGAGTGACGAAAGAAATTGAGCAAAGAAAAGAAGTTGCGCAGAGCTCCGAGTCATGATGTCATCGATCTGAAGCGGATGCCGTTTCAGTGGGTGCATGACTAGTACCAAAGGAAAACGAACACGTTCAAAGTGTAGGCATTGTAGGTATCGTCAACTCTCAGCTTGACGTCCGGAGCACAGTGACTGGCAAAGAAGTTGGCGGCATTGCACGCTGTCACTGGCCCTGGGGTTGGGGCCCGCTCTCATGTGGACACCGCAGATCTTGACCCATGGCAATATCAGAGTTATTGTGGAGTCGATGTTGCATCTTTGCATGTTGCTAGTTTGCTGAATATATGAGACGTTTGGGGGATGCTGTGACACGGCTGCTGTGCACACGGCACTGGAACGGCCAGAACGCCACCTACGTAAGGACTGCGACAGCACCAGGAGCAAATCCGACAGTATACTGTGTCAACAGGCTAGCGTCAGATGTATCGGCAAAGCAACAAAGGAGAGGTGGAGATGTTGCTAGAGCACAGGAACTCGTGGTGTCCTGCACCCCAGTTCTAGAACGGAAGTGGCACACGTGACACGGCAGGGATGACCTTGGCAAGTGCGTAATGCGCCTCATGGACTCCGGCCTCCAGACTCGACGTTGCATTCACAAACACATTCAACAACGTCGCTAGTCGCATTCACAGGACAATAGACATCGTCGAGCTTACACGACCCGAGCCGGTGCTGCCCATACCACACCACAACCATGTCCAATCTCATCGACGCAGATGCAGGCACCGAGCGCTTCAGCGGCTATGAAGCCGAGTTGAAGCTGGTGCAGGCCGACCTCAGCCAGCAAATAGAGCAGATCAAAGAGACAAGCGGAGAGCCCAGGAAAGCCGCCATCAGCAGAGCAGAGCGCGCGCTGGAAGAAGCCGAGGAGCTGGTGAGTTGTCGCCTAAACACTCATGTCGCGCGTATGGACAACAACAGCAACAACGACGCATGACAAGACCATGTTCAAGACCAGGTTACTGACATAGACATGCGACAGATTGGTCAAATGCGCCTTGAGAAGTCCAACATCCCCGCAAACCTAAAGTCCAAATACAACGCGCGCTTCCGCAACTTCGAACACGACCTCGACTCCCACAAGCGCAAACTAGAAACCTACACCTCGGACAAGTCCAAACTCTTCGGCAACCGCTATACCGACGACCCAGAGAGCGGCGATGCCCAGCTGGAGCAGCGCCAACAACTCCTCTCCGGAACAGATCGTCTGAACCGGTCGAGTGGAAGACTGAGGGAGAGCCAGAGAATCGCGCTGGAGACGGAGCAGATCGGCGCAGGCACGTTAAGTGACTTGCACAGACAGCGGGAGCAGATTACAAACACAAGAGAGAGACTGCTGGAGAGTGAAAGCTACACTGATCGGAGTATCAAGNCGTTGAGGGGCATGGCGAGACGGTATGTATACCTGCCACTCCCACCTGTCCCCTACTCCAGTTGATGTGGAGTGTAGATGGATGCCCTTTTGATATGGGTGACGAGAGTGCTAACGATTTGTGATTTAGCATGGCTACAAACCGCATCATCACGATTGCCATCATTACTGTTCTGGTGCTGCTTATCATCGCTGTCATTTACAGCAAGTTTAGATGATTGTTCTTACGTTCGAGAAACGTTTTCCGCCTGGCGTCTGGAGTATAATACGCTGTGCGGATGGGTGTTGAAGCTAAGGCTTAGGTATCAAATGGCATCCACTTGAATGGTTTCAAGGGGCAGCAGTTTATCACGGGTACAATAAATTGCAACTCTGCTGTGACCTTATGTGCGCTGATACGCATTAATTATTTTACTAAGACATTAGGTATCTAATCTACGCGTATTACATTACGTCTCATTACTCCCAAACGTCCGCCATGTTGCGGCTGCACGCGAAGCTCGTTTCCAGCCAAGAGCTATTACAATTAACTCAAACAACCCGGAAATCGTTATGCGTTCCGAAAGAAAGATACATGCTGTAAATCGCCCAGGAAAAACGTTGCTGTGAGAGGAAACCCGTCGTGACAGCGAAGACTCGAAGTCTAGAGTGAACCTGAAGGAAAGTGTATCTGAAATGTGTCGCAGAGCGAAGCATAAGAAACATGGAAAGAATGACGGGGTCTTGCTATGAGCCTCGTCTAAGGAGTGACAACACATGTGAGCTTCTCAGCTTTCCCGTTATTGAACGATAAGAGTGTGTAAAGGAAAGGGCGCGTGAACTCAGTGGACTGATTCCCGCGTTGAGAGGCGAATGCCGCCTGTCGACATGACTAAGACCTCTAGGGTTGCATGTGTCTATAACGACACATGGTATGGTAATACGACGAATGCGATAGAGGCATGTCGTGATCGAGAATGACCTCCGAGCTGGTCATGCAAAGCCTGTGCCGTTGGCGTACCCGAAGCAGCTGTGCTTCATATCTTCGGAAGTTATCCAGTCTTGCTCTCGGGTCAGGAGAGAACATATCCTGCGGATTTGGTATTTGTAACGAGCGTATTATTTAAGGTTGATGGGTGTAGGCATCCGATTAAGTTGTTATGCGGAAAGGTCAGCTAGAGGCTATTCAGTCTACTGAGCCGACTGGGAAAGGCGTGAGTGGTAGCTGCTTATCAGCTCCAGGTGTTCGTGGCGGTAATGGAGAAGGCGCCCTCTGGCTGCTCGGGTTTCGGGTGTGGGAACCCAAGGCCAACGGCGATCCCGTTCGCAACGGGGCGGGCCATGGAGGGCTGAATGGTGTGATGGGTGACATGCGCAGAGGATCAGGCCTTCCTTGAAAGCGTGTAGCAGATCGCCCTCGCGTCGAGCTCTGTGTGCTTTGCGAACTACCGCTTGCATTGCGAGAGTGATTGTTGTAGCTAGGTAGACGTAGCGTTGGTGGACGACTACTGTTTGCGACAGAGAAGCGACCACTTGGGGTGCGAGAGAGCGTTGGCACAAGGGGTTGAAGAGGGATGTCGCTTTGTACTGAGTCAGCCCTCGGAATGGTTGTCTCGAGCTTGAGGGTGTGGGAAGTGCTTGATCGCGTCGTTGTTCGTGATGTGCTGGGTCTCGTTACATGGGTGGCGGTACCCGGCCCAGTCATGGTGGTGCGCACCGTACTGGGTCTTGTCCTAGTAGTAGTAGTAGTTGGACGAATAATGGTCGTCCGTGCCGTGTTCGGTCTCGTCCTGGGAGTCGCCGTAGTAGGTCGGGTGTTCCCTTGGCGACCAGTCCTCTGTTTTTGGCGCTCGATGTCGAGAATTCTAGCGTTGGTGTATTGCGGCACTGCTGAGAAGTAATGCGGCGCCAGCAGAGCGAAAAGAGGTCGCATAGCTGGTATGCAAGCGCATATAATGCCGACGTTTACTTCCACTGCAGATAATGTCGCATGATCCACGTTATCGAATGATATGTCGGTCGAATTGGCGATATTATCTAGGGTGTACAGCCGTATGATAGAGACCATCGTGACGCTATTGGTGTCAGCATTCGTTGACCTTGCAATGTCTGGTCCTGCCTCACCTAGCACCTAACACAAACACAGCCACCAAGCCTTCTTTTTGCGATTTAGGTAGATGAAGAGCCCGAACGATGGATAGCGGCATGAGAAAGATCACCACGTCTTGTGCAATATTGACACCGGCGTTTACAATCCATATGATGAGCTGATTCACACAACGCCCATCATCGATGGACTTATCCCATGAAAAGGCGACGGGGCTGCAGATAAACACGCTCGAGAATGTCGCCCACCCCCCATAAAGTATTACGATACTGAGCATAGCATAGCAAGCTATGCGGAAGCCTCGCACAGGAAATATGCGGAGATATTGCACGAGGATAGAGATCTTTGTGACTGCAAGGGTGAGGTTGTAAACCCAGACGCTTGCCCAGAAGGCCTAACTTCTTGTCAGTTGAAAGCTTAGGGAAGCATGGAGAATGAAGTTCGTTCAGTCAGCGTAAGCTGTGTACCTGCACCAGGTACGGCGTAACTTGCACAGGGCACTGTCGAAGGATAAAAGCGTCGAGGAACTTACTGTACGTAGAGTAACTTGCTCATTGAGTTCAAGCCGCGACTTGTGTTCGCCCAACCCATTCATTACTTGTTCCGCCGTCAGCACGGCAAGTGCGACGGAAAGAATCTGTACGTGGTCAGCTACAAGTGCACAGTTCGTGATCCAGGTTCACCTACCATAGCAACCACGATGCACGCATCCTCAAGCCCAGCTCCTTTCGATATTACCAATCGTGTAAAAAGACGTAGAAACACTATGAGACCAGAAACTAGTGTGAAAGCAAGTACAATGATATTAACCCGGGTACCAGCGGGCGTAGAGCTATCGAGATCCATGATGGCCTTAGTATTAGATGGACGAGTCGACAGAACAGAAAGGAGAAGAAAGCCGAGACGTAGGACCTGCGAAGGCTCGCATGGCTCAAGCCTTCATATTGGCTGATGCGGAGAAAATGGAGAATTAGGATGTTCGCAAGTTGATCGTGATAGGAGATGCAGTGCGAGGTCAGTAGTACGGTACGAGACTGAGCCAGCCTCGGGAACGAACAGTGCTAGCGAATATGGCTCGTGGGATTGCAGGAAGAACAAGTCCTCATTGGTAAGGAAAGTCGGACGACATTAACCCCCGCACAGCTTGAGAGTGAGACGCAGGTTCCCGACGTTCATGCTGCATTTGGAAGCGCGAACAGGACCAATATCGCGTGGACTCCCCCCACCATGGGCACGTTCCTACAAAAACGACCGTCTCATACGTGACGATAGTCGCAGTATGCAGATCCCGCAGGGCACTGGCCTAATGGCGCCTTGTGGTAACTGGCCAGGCACCAGGTTTGGCAGAGAACGTGCGAAAATAGTCGAAGAAGGGGGGTATAATGTCACAACTATACCCTTAGGGTCAACTCGTGGCAGCCACCGTTAGGAAGCCACCAGGTTAGCTTAGTTCTAGGTTAGCATGGCTGAGGCGGTGCTACGGAACTGTTGATGTCGCATGTCATTGACTAGATGCCGCTTTTGACAGATCCGTTTCGAAAGCCTGAAGAGTGTCGTACATGTGTGAACATGTCATGTGGTGACTTTGTTCTGTGGCTTGTGATTGCAACGTCTGTCGCGCGCGAGTCTTGCATGCAGGAAAGCGGCTGGTCTACCAAAGACCGCGTACCTGCATGTCCCGTACTGGAAGTGTAGCAGTTCGCGTAGGATGGCGCAAGGCTAATGACCCTGCTGCAGATCTAGCCGAACGCAGACCGTGCACCGAAACCTTGATGTCTTTCTTACGGGTCTGAAACGACCCTAAGGTTATCGGTGCGCTCCCCACCATATAGCGTTTTCTCTCAAGGCAGCTTGTGGCTATCCCTCACCATCTTGGTAGATTTGGCGGAAATAGACGATATTGATGGGTAGTTGACCTCTTTCGGTACCGTACAAAGCCAAAAGATCACGCGACTAGCTTCGGCAATCTGGAGCTTGTTTTGCTCTTCGGCAGGGCAGGGAACGACTGTGGCTGATATTCGGTTGTTCAATCACACATCCGAGTCACGCTGTGCGTGATATACGGCTCTTACCGGCCTCAGACGTAGGTTGAGTTTGGCCGACTACGAAGTTTCTTGGCTCACAACCTTCTTTGCATCTTCGGACGGTCAGTGTCACTTCCAAATCTCACGATTCAGGCAACACGTGTATTGAACAGAAACGATGCAACCGTTGGGACGACCGGACTTTCAAGCGAGCAAGTAGCCGCATTTTCCCATGGCCGCCCACGTCCGCAAAGTTCCGAATAAGGCTCGGTCCCAGTTGTAGCCGTAACATTGCGATATAGGTGCAGCGCCTTAACGTCTGTGTAAGGCTGGTGGAGTAAAAAGCGCTGTCAGGGTGAAGAATGAAGGGAACGAGAACGAGAACAGTAAGTTTCCGTAGTGTGGCGGGCTCGGCGTTGACGTTTCGAAGATGACTGGCCCTCGGTTTGATCGGGCGGAAAGATACTTTCCTATTACACTGTCAAAGGGGTCTTTGCAATCAGCAAGGGATCGATCTATAGACCAGCTGTATAGAGGTCGTGCATAGCCAAGAGAGTTGTATCTATCACGGAAGCCTAGAAACGAAGACGGCAATTTTGGCCGCGTTTTGCGGCCTCCGAAAAAGGTTACAGATCTTCGATATGTACGATGTTCGTGATGGTCACAAGCACATGGCCATGGATCTACCCGGTAGTACCTATTTGTGGGGTACATAGATAAACACTTTCCTTGCGAAAAGCTTGGGTGCTTTTTCTTACGACTCAAGGGAGGATTGTGGAGAGCCGCCTGAAGGATCGTCGTGTGGTAGTATCGGTGGATGCGACACGTAATTCACACGCAAAGCAAGAGCAACGCCGATGCCATGCCGGTAACGGACACTGCGTTGTCCGAGGGCAGTACTGATGCACGACCACTTTCTGCTTATCGTTGGTATGGCGCTTCGTGGGTATCCGGTGCGAGTGTGTGAAAGCGCGGGCATGCCTGCCGAAGAGCGGCCAACGATGGTGATACAATGCAGCAGCCAGACTAGCGACATGGGTTGTGTTGGCTAGGATGCTGACTGTCCGTAAGCGACGAGTACTTTCAGCGCGGAAGGACGAGGGAGAGGCGCGCACACTTAATGTGGGATATCAGGGAACCTGGTGCCTAGCATAGTCTCAGAGCGTGCAAGCTGGCAAAAACAGCGGCATCACCGGTCAGGTCGGCTTCAACATACAGGACTAAGGAAGTTTTGTCAAAACGAGCGGATGCGTAGACGGTAGTGGTGGTGGCTCGGGCGCCCACAAACTCTTCTTCAATCAAGCGGCAAGCCGCAAAAATCAACGAAAAGCAGCGCAAAGCTAGCAATGGGTGTCAAAAATTCCCAGCCGACCCTAAGGCCAACTGGAGCGGTCATAGTTGTAGTTTTCAACTAGCAAAAACGCTACCTCGGACGAATCCTCACTGGTAAGCGTAAAGCCCGAGCACTTGGATGCAGACGAGAAAGGAGGACGAGGGGGCGCGAGATTAAGTACTGCCAGCAGAAGCGCTAGAGACTTGGCGCACTAAAATCACATGACCGGGCAAGTCCGCCTAACAGCGGGTCACCGCCGGCAAGGGCGTTTTCAGCCAATGGCAAGACCGCAGTGCGATGAAGGTGGAGCTAGGCAGCAATTCACGCTTTTCTCAGCCTGCACAAGGTCTTGCTTTGTGGTTTCATAGGCACCAACATAATTCAAGCGTAGGACTTTACCTCCATTGGCCCGCCTGCTCATAAACACATCCAGCTGCAGTTCTTCGGAGTACGCCCTACCCCTGGTCCAAGCTCACAAGACTTTTTTTCCAATCTACAAACACGAGTCAAGAGCGCGGCATGAGCGCCATTCTTACGCGCGGTATGCGCACGCTCCTATGAGAAGACGCTTGCGCAATCAGAGAACCTACATACAGGCGCGATGTTGCAAAGACCGAGAAACTGCAGGCTCGGCTCTGCGGTCATGCAAGAGCTGAGCACCAGCATCCCTTTGCGTGCTTCCACACCGTTCAGGAAAGATACACTAGTCATTGTCGCTTACCTTGTCAAGCTAGCTTCTTGTATTGCATTCCAAGATATACAGAGAAGCAGCATCAACACTAACCTCGTCACTTGTAGCAAAAGCAACTCTCGCGGCCGCATCCAATTACCCTGGATCCACTACCACGCTCAGAACATTAAATACGAAGGATTAAATACATGGACTGATCTGTGGCTTAGAGGCTAATCACCATCTTCTGCTATTGGACCCGCATGCAGAGTGCTCACAGAGAACACCAACTGGAGAGCAGACAAAGCCTGGGTACACGACCCGACATATGGTTATGCACGTCCGAGTCAGGATTGGAGCCTTTTGAACCCACAGTCGCTGCAGGATTCCACTCCGGGCACTGTCAGCTGCAGTATTATCCAGTATAGGTCAGGAGTGCCGCAAGTTGTGAGGCTTTATTATACTTCCCGCGGCAACTGTTGGTCGCCAAAGCTAGGGTAAAGGCGGATCCAACTCCCGAGTCGTTTCGGTGCCAAATGCCGATCGCGTTCGAGACGAAGCTTCGCTTGTAAAGATGCGTGAGGGCGTAAACATAGGATATAATACATGTATGTGCTCCCGTTGCGTGATGTTCGGTGCGTGCCTTCCTCCTGCTTTACTTCACTAAACGTCGTACTCACCAACACTACCAGTGGTACCACTGCTCATGGAGACAACACTTTTACCGGATATCTACATCCTGCGCTGCCCGCTACCTCCCTTGCGCGTGTGAGGGGCACTGCCCGTTGCAGCGGCTGGTACATTTCATTGTTCCAGGAACATGGCTACCTTGGACAGCAGCAAGCCCGACTTCTATCACTTTCAGTGGGAAAGATCTCTTTCAATTACATGCATGTGCCTGCCCTACCTCTTACTAGACTTTCTCCACCTCATTTGGAGATAGAGAGCTCAAAACGAGAAGAACTCGTGCGTCGGTTGATGTACTTCTGCAGGGGTATTGGATACCGGCTGTTGCACCACCGGAAGCTCCCTCCGGTTCCAAAGACCCGAAATGTCGACAGCGTACCGTCTGGCCAAACCCTCGAAACAGCTCAAAGCAATGCGATGCGCACGCTCTGCCACCGGGCCCTTCATCATCTGCAGCCAGCGGATTGCCGTCGTAACACAATGGATCATCTTCGCTGCCTCGCAAGATGTTGATGTGGGATGTGAAAGGCCAAGAAGACAAACAGAGATAGCTTGCATGATATGGTGCACAAGGCACCACCAAGGGCACTGCTCATATAGCTGAGGACTATATTCATCTGGAAGTGAAGCAATGATCGTGCTTGCAGCCTCGATACAGCTGTCCGCCATACGTCTCGAAAAGCTTGCATCATTTGCATCCCTCCACGGTTGCCGCCTGGCAGTCAAATATGGGCGTGTGAGTAGTATTCGTGCGCTGCAGAGTTGGAACCGAAGCAACATGCGCTCGCGGCCGGACACGTCAAGCGTTTTGCGCAACGGTTCATCTGGTCTTATTTCCTGGGGTAACGATGAAGCCCACTGATCGAGACGTTGGCTCAAGAGAGAGGTATCTTGTTGAATATCGGTTGGCGATCGAATCATCGTACCCGCGGAGTAAAGGGACGTAAGAATGTTCTGGGTTATTATGGATAATTGAACGACGGCTCTGAAATACAGCCCCGAGTTGGCGTATGTTCCTCTAGGTCGTATCGATGTTTGAGAAGCGTTTAAAGCGATATTCGAAGAGCCAGAAAATATGGCAGATGTTGACGACGATGCGTTCGTCGTACGCATGCTGTGCGGCGCCTCCATTTCCTCCGCTGGATCTTCTTCCGACACTGCCACGGGCAACGGCACTGAGCAGCAAGAATCCACGATAATGCTAGGCCTACCGGTAATGATACTCAGCGTTCTTTCGAGAGAGTATAAGCTCCACCACGTTTGTACCAAAGTCTGTCGTTTAGAGGCGCTTGCGGAAGGATCTTCGTTCCGTACGTGAAGGCCGAGGGAAAAGGCTGAACGAAGAGCCACCCCAACAAGCGTCCAAGCCCTACAATAGTCAGCAAGCTTGTCCTTCGAAAAACATCTTGGTGTTGACTGAAACTCACCGACTAACTTGTCCGATACTTAGCCAATAGAACGCGAGAAGACCCAAGCCTTGGATTCGCGGCACATCAGCATGAGTAGTCAGAGAAGCTTCATTCAAACCAAACGCCCGCGCCCTGGCTTGGAACACATTGGCGTCTCCTGTCGGCCAGTCCTTGTTGTAAAGGTACGAATAATTTGCACCAATGGCGAAGACAAGATTCAAGATGGCCTGCCACTTGAGGTTGAGACGTAGGGCATTCCCCGCGCGCAAAGCCGTGAAATACACGCGAGTTTGTTCCTCGAAGTTTCGTGGCAGGATCGGGAAGGAATCGTGCACCCTGAGCATATAGCATCGTATCAAATGCTCAGCGAAGTCGGGTTGGGGCAGTTCGTATGGGTCCACGTAGAAGTTGACACTCACATCGTCACAGTCAGCCCAGAAGCTAAACGAACTTATCTGCTCGCTACCTGGAGCAACCGAAGGACGGCGTTGAGGCTCGGATCCTGGCCACTCTGCATTCGTTCTTTCGTGCTGGGCTAGGACCACTGCACGCAACCATTGTACCTCTGAACTCTTTCCAATGAATCCCGTTGATCGGGCCTCGTCTTTGCTATGCAAGTCTTCATCCAGGAGATCCAAGGCTTCAATCTCATGATGCTCGAAGTATTCAGTACCACTGAGTTCTCCGCTTTCTTGCGAGCCACGCCTGTCGTCCACGTCAAGATGCGATGGTGTTGGAGTCGGGGTGAGCCTGTTTTCTGACAAGTCCTCATCGATCTGACCCGTGTGAGTGTTTCAACGTTACTCCTTGCGTGATAGCGATTTGAACCAAACTCACCTCATCCAGGATGTCAGTAATGCGGTCCCCATCTTCGGCGCTTACACGGTCTCTTATATCCTTAAGAAACTCTGCTAATTGGTGGTATTGTTCGGTGACGCTTTAATCGTCAGCAATGCAAAGGTAATAGACTAGGGACTGGACAGACATCTTCAGACGGTCTTTCCGAGGCAGGATATAGACGCACTCGCGATTCGTCGTCGCGCAATGCTTACACCTTGGCTTCTCGCCGGTGCATTTGATCTTGTGGGAGCGACACTAAATGTGCCACCGTTAGAACTCGTACCAATTCATAATGATGCCAGCCTATCGGATGAAGAACACGCCTGGTAATACTACAAGGCGTGTAAAACCGGTTACCAATCGCTGCCGTTAGACACCCGTGCGCGATTCAGACTTACTCCGGTACAGGCCCGTGGAACTCGACGTCTGTCTTTCTGTCCACCCTGCCTTTGTTCAAGTCTTTGCAATCGTGGAATTGCAACTTTCCCTTGCCCAGACAAGGACATTCCATAACTCGTCGGATAATGATGCTCGGGGGTGTTTGATGCCATGATTCAGGACAATGTACCGTGGATCGACGTGGAATTGTTGTTCAAAAGACCAAACGTTGGTCCAGGATAGATGAAGGCGACGCGGCAACAAAGCGGACAATCCGAGAGCCCCAGATTATGTCGGCTACCCGAAATCGACTTCAATCGCGTGCGGGTTCGACCTACCGAACGCCATCAATCCAAACTTGGGCATGGGAGATTATCCACAGGAGCCTGCTGGATCCTGGGGTGGACACACATGGCCCTGGTTACTGCTGGATGTCTATTAAGCTAGAGTTTGTGATTCTTCACAGCTCGTTCGGGAATTCCAACGGAACCCTTCACCGTAGCCAATAAGCGCGATTACTGTAGCCCTGGCCCTGGCCCCTACGTCTTGTCATGAAGAATTATTGTGGGCTGATGTCAACCTTTTCCTAATATACGTGCTGAATGAAGACCGTGGAGCCAACTGGCATCGATTCAATACCATCGGGGATTCCGCAATTGCAAAATCAAGACGCTGGCTTCCCCCGGGCCCAACCACATGCTATGCAGCCGCCTGTTCACTAGGATACCTAATTAGGACTTCGCCTTCCTCAACGCTGTGGTCGGGCCACTTCTTATGCGGCTACCAACGTCTACTGTACCGGTATTGCCACGAACCAGGATCCTACGTGACGTGGGAAAGCAGATCGGCAGGCAGACAGGATCTATTACTGCATGTCGCCATATAGTTACTTATTCGTGACAGGTACAAACACCCCGCATAGGAAAAAGAGTACAGCTGGACCACGTAATGCTTACCCAGCCATTATGGAAGCACATCATTCTCACTGTCGTGGGTCTTGGGCTTTAGTTGGTGTTTTTTTGGCCCTGTAACACAATCGGACGTGTCAGTAGTGTTGCGGGGCGCACTGACTCGTCATACAGGACCGCGACATCACCTTTCTTACTTTGAGTCTGGAACACCTCGAGGAATTGAAGGACGTTTCGGCTCCACGGAACGATGTCACAAGATAACATTCAGGTGAATCGCTACTTATGACGACCGTTAATCCTTCAGCCCGGCTGTCACTCTTTACTCGAATAGACTAGCGAGTCTGCTTAGCGTGGCAAATGTCGGTTTAGGCCACATCCTACCTTCACACCCTCTTGTCGTGTCCTAGAAACTCGTATCGAGAAAACATGTACGCGAGCATTAAGTCGGGCCATTCGGTCCGTAACTCAATGTAAACAAAGCCTATTCGCATTCATCCGTTGCAGTAAGTGAATTCCTGGGTCGTTGTCATCTTGCTCGCGTGGCGGAACAAGTATAGTACTGATTTGACTCAAGGCCTGCATCTTGAGTGTATCAAACCTTATGAAATCTGTAGTCGATGCATGACGTTGGGCGTCCGTAGTAACGCCAGCCAATCGTAAATTCGCCAGGATCAGCCTTGCACGTGGGGTCTGTCACCAAAGACCCACATGCCCGTTGTGAATGCGACTCATTGCCAAATAAGAACTCGTGTCTTGATCTGGAAGATTTATCAGATGGTCACAGCGATGCGGTTGCCTCATTCCCGGTGTCGCAGCATCGGGTAGAGAATCTTCTGCCGCCTCCGCGCGTCTTTACAGCGCTTTGGCAATATGCAAGGCGGTAATTTTGGTACCTAGAACTTTACGCCGATCCAAGCGCGCATGCGCCGATCTGGAAACGCCTCGCTGTCGCGCACTTCGCTTCGACTCGTGTGCGTTGCACAGTAATGTACGGCAAATACGGTAAACTTGGTCAATAGTCCTACGCCATCATAAAAGGAGATAACATGACCTTGATCATGCATCGCAGAATCTTGCTCTAGCCAACGTCGATCTGATTACAGAGAAGATCGTCAGATTTCAATCTCGGCACAGCTAGCTGTGTCTAGGATCCGACGTCCAAAGTTTGGATGACACCAGCTAGTCGGCCGCGTCGAACACACATCCGCTCTTCCTCCCGCACGGTAACTAATCCACGACCATCATCTTCACATGCTCGCATCAATGGTCGCATACTTTCAGTAACGATCTCTACGCCACCCTTGGTTCGTTGCTCCTTGGGCACACTTCTTGCGCTCTTCCGCCTTCATTGCCGCCGGTTGCCAACTTGCAACGGGTACCGGAAAGTGCATCATACGACAATTCAGTATTCCTAGGTGTGAGCCTGCGAGCGAGTCAAGAGAAGAACGAAGACCACAATCACGTCACCGGACACTTCCCATTTTCAGTGCTTGGTACACACTTGGTGGCGCCCTCCCCGCAATTTCTGTCAGACAGTGCTTGCGATTCAGTATCTCCCACCGTTTTTAGCCGCACCGAAGAAGCCCTCGAGAACGTCCACTTCGCATCAACCCCTTGTGGGCAAAGATCTGGCAATTCCACACCGTCTATTTGCAATATATTCTGAGTTTTCGGGTTCGGATTTGGGGCCTGAACTTGGCGAATTGGGGGTTGACATGCAACCACCATCTTACTCAAGGCGTGCAGTTGTTGTTAGTCTCTATTGAGCCTGCGACCGGCACTAGTATGCAGCTCGTAAGATGCTTGCATCGGTTGAACAATTCCATATCCCCGCGACAAGGTCACAATGTAGTAGTTTGGACAAGAACAAGATAAAATTCAAACCCCTGCCTGCATCGCTTGACGACGATTTACTCCTGCCACTTCAGGAGCATAGCATGACACAGTAGCGGTTGCGATTGAATAGAAGGACGGAACCATCGAAGTGCTATGGCCCCCACTTCACATCGTTCAATCTGAGCTTCATACCGTTCCTCGGTTTACTGGTCAGCGTGCCACCCACGACAATCTCCTCGTTAGGATCTGCCAGTTCCATCTCGAAGTTACCCACGAATGTCGCAACAAGCGACCTCATCTCGGCCCGCGCAAACCTCTCTCCAATACAGCCCCTCGGGCCATGCAGGAATGTTAAGAAACTGTAGTTGCTCTCTGCTCCACCGTTCATCGTCGCGCGACCGGTCGTCGTATCCATCCAGCGCTCTGGTACAAAATCTTCAGCGTCTGGTCCCCAAAGCTTCGGACTTCGGTTAATTGCCCACGGAACAATCCAGAACATGGTGCCGCTGGGTATGACATGGCCGCAGACTGTCGTGTCCCTGACAGCGACGCGCGATGTGAGAGGTACCGGGGGAAAGAGTCGAAGAACTTCGTTGCAGACACGGTTGAGATACGGCATACTTTCTAGAAGCCTGGCGACATCGAAGTCAGGGCTTGACAGAACGCCTGGATCGGGAATATACTTAAGGATTTCGAAGCGGAGCCGAGCTTGAATGGCTGGGTGTTGGGCAAGCAGGTAGGAAGTCCAGGTCAGTGCAGAGGATGTGGTTTCGTGACTGTCTTGGTTAGCTCTGTGTCAGGGCGACTCGGAGATCGGGTATACTGACCCTGCTGCTACAAAGGTAAGAAGTTGGTCCACGAGGTTCTTGTCCGACTGGTCGTTACCGCGAATCATGATGGACAAGATATCGCGACTTTCCTGACCCTCGGCTTTCTCGCATCTGATCTTCATCTTCCTTTCTACCAAAAACCCCGAACAAACCCTCCGCAAGTTCCTAGTCGTAACCGTTACCCTCTCATGCAACCTCCACGGTAACTTTCTCACTAGCCATGGTGGTAAAATAACGTTGGTAAGATAGTACAGAGCCTTCTCGGGTGTCGGCTCAAGGATCTCCTGGTAGTTCTTTGCCAGCTCGTCGTCCTTGTTATACAGAGACCCCAAATCTCTGCCCATTCCGGCAATCCCAATAATATCCAGCGTAACCCGTGTGGCATAGTAACAGACGTCCAAGACACTATCTGGTTGCGCACCAAGGTCTCTCTTTACCACGGCGCAGAACTCCATTGATTTCCCCCAAAACACCGGATATAACTCCTTGATATGTCGGAAACGGAATGCAGGCATGATGCTTTTCCGCTGCCACACATGCTCCTCTCCTTCACTCATCAACAATCCCTCCCCCAGGAATCTCTTGATAAAGTTAGCCCCAACGCGCGGCTTTTCGAAATCATAGCACTTATACACTAGGACATCTGCTAGCGCCGCCGGCGTCGTCAGAAGGAGTTTGGTAGTATGCAGGAATCCTCGTCTGAGAATAATACCGTCGTTCGGTACCGTTCTCATCGTGCGAACTTGCCAATCTCGGCTGGGCTGGTGTTTCTTTAAGAGAAATCGTCCATGGCCAAAGAGTGGTATAAAGCCTCTGGGCTGTGGTAAATTGCATAGAGGACTGAGGAAGAAAGGGTATATGAACCATTTGTGTAAGATGAGGATACTGTTATGGAGAATGGTGAGTGTGAGCCAGTATTTCTTCAAAGAGGTGTCTGAGAGAGTATTAGCAAGCAGAATGTATGCGGCGGTTGCTTCAAGAGCCGGGAGGATAAGACAATTTGCAAGGTTGAACTTCATGATCGTTTAGTTGCTTAACGTACAACAAAGAGAGTGCAAGATCGCACCCTTCTTATGAATAAACAATTTGATCCTCCTTCCAAAGCGCTGTCAGTATTTTGATTCACTAGAGTTGTACAATCACCCAGCCGGCTAACAAAGAGCCCTGATGTTCCTCATGGTATCGTGCACCTGCTAGACGCCTGACGCTGCTATGGGACCGGGGTTATCGGCGTTCCGGCTAAGCACGAAAACCAACTTTTATTGCGGTGCAGTCGTCTTTGCGTGCAGAGGAACGCAGCTGCTTATCCAGCGGTGTTGGTTTCGCATTCTTTCGGTCCCTACTAAGGGGTCCGCTTTGTTGCTGTGCAGTCGTGTGGTAAACCTGATCTATTTTGACCTCAATAGTTTATTGCCGACCTCCAGATACGAATCACCTATTCAGGAGTAAATTAGGCACCATCCGTTCCGCAATCTCGCCTATATTTATTCCACGATCTCGTTTCGCCGTAAGTCGCCCCCCTTCTCCATCAACTCAACCTTCTCTTCATCACCCACCAGCTTCTCTGCCAAACCGTCTTCATCGGTCCGCGGATCCAACCCAGCACAACGAAGCACAAACCCACCAATGAGCTGCTCCGCCTCAAGAGAATTTCTTGTTAATGCATGATCATCTCGATCAAAAAGCTTTAATTCTTTATCACCTTCCGTACCATACATACTATATAGTCTTTCCGAGCACGAAGGACTCAGCGTTCGATCACCCGTACCGTGAAGGAGTAGAAGTGGTTTCGGCGCAAGTGAGCGTATACCCTTCGTCTCTGCTGTTTGACTAGCGACGGTCGCACACCCGACCACTCTTTTATCTTGGCCACCAATAGTAAACACAGAAGCGCCACCAAAAGACCAACCTACCAGCACAAAGCGCTCGATCTGGTAAGACTCTTCTAATTGTTTCATAGCTGCTAGGACGTCTCTCACACAATACTTGTTGCGTGCTGGATATCTATAGTCGAGTCGCAATGCCGGCACGGCTTGCTTGAGCGAGGCTAGCTTATCTGCTAGAGAAAGATAGATCGCCGATGGTCCTACAACACCGCTTCCTGCGCCAGAAAGGAGTATAGCCGCTGTCTTGGATGCTGATTTGGCTGATAATGTGGATGGTAGGTGGAGGATCCCTGGTACAGAGCCATCAGGCCCGTCTTCGACTTGTATTGACATCGGTTTGATGACACATGCCTTTTGTGTACAGGCTGGATGCGATAGGACTAAGTAGTCATTTAGACGCGCTGGTCTCGAGGGGGTCGATGGGCGCGAAGTGGCGGATAGAGAAGTACCAGGAGGTGACATGATGTGCGTTAAACTGTCGATGTGACTTAAAAACCGTTTCGTGGAAGAATAATTAGATGCTTCATATGTTATGAGTGTACCAAGCGTCCTCATCCGGCTACACTGTAGTGTTCGCCACTCACCACCTGTTGCCTCATGCTTCGTCGGGTATGATGTCACATCACGGGCTATGATACGCTGCACGTTCTTGATCTATCCGTTTGTACACGCCGGAGAAATCGTTCTTCAGATGGCGCACTCCCGACAAAAAGGGGAACAGGTAGAGAATGTAGACCAGATAAGCCAGGTCCGCCGAGTTGTGCCACGCTAACCTTTCCATCATACCCAGGTTCTGCGTTTCTGTAAGGAGTTGGTGAAGATCACGACCACATCACGATACACAACAGAGGCGCAATACCGAGGTGTATAGTCGCACCAGATTACACGAGCAAGTGAGCAAAAAGTGATACTAAGGACTACGATTACGTCTTATGCTACAGTAATATTGTTAGGTGGCCAACTGGCCACCCTCCGTCATGCGCCATGTCATGCTCAGCCACGAGCTTTCTTATCATAAACGCCGTTTGCTCTGAATATGCAATGCATTGAACGCCAGTTTAGCCACATCACCTGTAGAAATTGATCCGGGATACCCAAGTCGTACCGAGTTGCGCCCCCATGCCCACCTTCCTACCCTAACACCTTCATTCCATCGTCAACTTCTCAGTGGTCTCTAAGACCAGGATCTCGGTACCTGATTCAGAATCATCTGTACGACGATTCCCTATGTCCTCACTGCCCGCTCTACTCCTTGATGGGTGTTGGGCAACAACAGGTGAATCTGCCCCATCCGAGAAGTTACCAACGCTGCTCTCGCGTACCCGTTGTGCAACGCTAGCTGCGATTTTCTCATCGAGCATGTTTACCAATCGTTCTGAATACTGATCCAGTAGCTTGACCATGATCGTCTCCTCAAAGGCCTTGGTTTTCACCTTGTCTCCAATCGCCCTGGCAGTAGCGGCAAGCTCCCTCTCGACCTCTTTTGCGAGTTCCGGGCTCATAGTATCGCTGGTGTTTGCTAGACGTTTCCTGTAGGCTCGAAGCGTTCTACATAGGCTCTCTGTCGACGCTCCTAAGCTGCCAAATTCGTTCACAGGGGCCTTCGTGCGGTTTCTAGCATCTATTGATGCACGACGTTTACCAAGCTGCGGGTTTCTGGGACTAGGTGGCGATGGAGAGCGGTTCTTGTTTTTGCGCCCTGTGCCTTGTCCTTGCCATGCTGTTATCCGGCCTTCGCGTGAACTACTGGTCATAGGAGATGGTTCGAGTTTCGGCGTTGGGGCCAAGGAGAATTTGGATACCTTTTTCCGCAACTTTGGTGATTTGTTACCGCTGGGCGGTGGTGTTTCTTCTACAGGTGAGCGTTGGAGACGGGCCATTTCAGATTGCGAGAGGACGCGTCGTAATGGTGGCTTGCTAGACAGTAAATCCTGGTTGGAAGGCGTGTTTGGGGCGAGCAAATCCATAGACTTCGATACGTCGTGACGATTAGGCTGCAAAGCCAGAGCCCATGCAAATATGGTTCCATCCACAGCAACTGTGACTAGCGACTTCTCGCTCGTTTCTTCACTTACGTGCTCAGGCGTCTCTACAAGCGCGATATCGGAAACGCCCTCCGTATGGCCCCAATCGCGAGCGACCAGGGAGCCGCTTTCATCGTAGACGCGTATCGATTTATCAGTGCTTGACACACCCGCAATTAGAGGGGCACCCCAGTTGCGTGGTATGTGGACCAAGGAAGACAGAACGACTGCATCTCCACCATCAGTGTCGCATGCACGGAAGTTGCTGAGTAATTGACCTGTTCGAATGTCGAATTTGTGTACCTGGCGATCGATAGTCGAGACTAGAAGAGCATCGTCCTGATCGATGTCCCAGGCCGATGACACCGGCGTCGCTTTTAACATGATAGCTCGTGACATCACAAAAGCTCGGGTTGTACCACGATCGTCTTCGATAGACAAAAGTTCGCGGACCACCAGACTTCGATCGCTTGAGGACGACACTAGACGCGTGCCATTTCGAGAGAAAGACACTCCATTCACTGCTCCTACGTGCTCGTCCAGAGTTTGCAGTAGATCCCAGGTTTCTTCTAAACGTGTGAACACTTGAACGGTACGATCTCGGCTGGCACACGCGACGAGGGTCATATCCGACTCCTCATGTATGGCAATGCTGGTGATTTCGCTGGCATGTGCCTTGAACTCTAACGTGCAGGTTTTAGTGTTGCAATCGATGAAACGTAGAACACCATATTTGTCACCAGCAACGAGGAAAGCTCCATCAGTGGAGGCACGGACTGTCCTTAGCTCGTTAAGGACGGCATCAGGTTCGTCCAGCTGCTCAAGCTGTACTTGAAGCAAGCCCTTGAACGTCCCTTGACTCCAGAAGATAACCGTACCGTCAGCAGCCCATGTGTAGTACGAAGCCTCGAACACGTTCGGTTGCGCGAGATCAGCATGTACTCCTAGTACAGCGTTTCCATGTGCAGGTAAGGTGTGAACGACATTACCCACAGCGCCTTCATCATCGTCGGAACACAGTTGTGACAATCGGATGGCTCGATGAGTGTCAACAGTGATGAGATAGTCTTTCAGACAGGCTATCACGCCGATTTGATTGCATTCCGTAACCGAGGTGGAGGGAGATTCAACGCGCGGTGGAGGTGAGGGCGGAGGAGTTAGCCTTCCAATCATCTCCTCTATGTTGAAAGTCTTGAGTGCTCCTTGACTACCAGCAACGTGGAGTCGCCCTTTAACATCGACAGCTAAAGAGCTTACAGCAAAGCCGGCGTCAACCAATCTCGAGAAGCGATGATTGGATTCGGTATCGTCAATAAGACATATATCCCCCTTGTCAGAAGCTACGACGGCCTTGTTTCGGGCTATGGCGACCACACTTGTGAATGTCGACTCTTTCAAGCTCTCTAGAATGCAATTCCTTCCTGGTAGCGTTTTGTGTGTGGAGCCGGAGAGAAACGAGACATCGCTTTGACGCGCCTTGGAGATGCGCATTGTCGCATTGAGGTCGTCTACCTTCCAGACTTTGACATGTCGGACACCGACAGTCACCAGCTTGTTTCCCATCCACGCCATTCGGTTGATATGGCTGACACATTTGTTGCTAGC